AAGAAAAAATGGTTTCATTCCTAATTAAAGATTGGAGTATTCATATGGTATACTAATATATTCAAACCGTGTCTCAATTAGATGTTTTCTGCTCGAGTTATAATGTTTTGACCGACAAGTTTTAACTTGTAAATGATCTAATTTTCACATTAATTTTGGGACATGTTTTACTAATAAATATTTTTGCTATTAGTATGAATGCAGGAAGACATTAGCAGACAGTAGGCCAAGAATAAGAGGGAGATTTGCAAGAAATGATGAGATACCACAACAAGAACAAGTTGATGTTATGGAAGCCGTGGTTGGAGATGTCGACACGTGGGCATCTTTTCTTGATTCTTTCTCTGCTAATCACTTCCTTAACTAGTTTAATCTCTCTTATGTTTGTTTTTCTTATATATGTTTATATGGCACTGAAGTTTGTTTTGGTTTAAAAGATTACCCCATGTTGCTAAAGTCATGTAGGTTTTGTGTTTTCTTTGTATATAAGAATAACATATTTTGTAATTTTGATCGGAAATATTTGCAAACTAATCTATCTTCACTGGCCATACAATTTTGCATGAGTGGTATGCCACTTTGTCAATCGTGTTAGCATGGCACTAAGTTCTCTAATTGAGATAAATGGGGTTTTAGATAGGTTAAAAGGCAAAACAAAACAAACCGATATTCACCTATTGAGAACAAAGTCTATTTGAGATATAATGGTGTTGCCGTATTATATTACTTCGTAATTTAAATTTGGTAGTCCGTATGTGAGTTGTAGACGACTAACATAAAACAATTAAAAATAATAATCGAACTCCAACTAAAACAAATTCTTCATTGCATATCATTATTACTTAGATGGTCCCTTAAACAGTTAATGTATAATTTAGTATGTTCCTTAATGGTCTGAATTTTCTTTTACCAACTTGACTTACAAAACTATATAGAAAGTACAAAGATGATAACTTTTAACATTGAAAAACATATATTGAACATGGCCATGTTACTTTGATGATTTCATTATTCTCTCACGTTGATTACACATCGTGCTACTAAGTACTAGCAATCTCCAAAAGCAAACATAATTTATACCTTAAGAATTCTTAAGATATCAAAGAAGCTTCCACTCAAATAAACTAAATTAAAGTAATCAACCCATACATTCATTCTCATTCATAAATTAGTAAAAAAGAAAGAAAAAAATGTAGAGGAAAACACGCTAGACTTTAATATTTAGTTGATTTGTATATTGGTGTTAGATTTTAATATTTCTGAATAGTAACAAAAAATATTTATTTTTATCAAAAAAAGTTTCTAATTATAATATTTCCACGATATCCTTTTTTACAAAGAGACAATCCAAATTTTTAACAGAGCGATGAAATTAAAATTTGAATGTTAGGCATCATTTGTAATAAGAAAATACAATTTTTCACAATTAGGTAATTAGTAATAATGTGATGAAATAATGCTTCTAAATTAGATATAAATAAAGTAGTTTTGAAAAAGGAAAGAGAGCAGCAGTCTTTCTTCTTTAGCAAAGGCTATGGAGGAGAGATGTAGGCCCTCCGGCGACATTGTCCCCGACTTTTGTCGGCCGGCGGTAGATTTACCGACTCTCCACTCTTAATATTTTTGTAACTTTTTTCTTTCTTTTTATTATTTTAACTAAAAGCCTTCTGCTTGAACACGGGTACACAAAGAATCAACCTTAGAGAATAAATTAGATTCTTTCTTTCCCCCACTTTTATAAATCGGTGACAACAAAACCACGAGACTTGCGTGGGTATAAATTAATGCATAAAACCTATATAGGGTTATAAGAATGATCAAGCTCTTCGATGTTTTCTTTTTTTACTGATCCGTTTGAACCTTGATTGAAGTAGAAAAGGCTTAAAAGGCTGTAATCGAACTCTACTCCTCTTAGCTTGTGTCTTACCTACATTATGGATTGAGATAATATAAGACTGAAATCTATAGTCCAAACTTGTGTTAGGTTAGATTTGCAAATGAGGAAGTTTAGATCTCGTACCTGATTTTGTGTCATTGTTATTCTCAGAGGATTGGACTTGGCCTTGGTGATTAGTGTCGGTTTCAGTCTTTCCTTTCTTCTCGTCTTCAATTGTTAACTCTGCGACTTTATTGTCTTCCATTGTTATCTCAAAGGTGTTGTGGTATGGAACTGATGGCTCTTCCTCGAGCTTTGTCTCATTGGACTCTAATCTTGATGCTTCGTCATGGTCTTGTACAACCGCCTCTGGACTGAGAGGTTTACCTGATTTACTTAGCAAATCGGTAGTCTCAGAGGATAAGTTAGGAAGATTAATATTACTGTCACCTGTTTCATGCTTCTGGTCTTTCAGTGTCACCTCCATGTACTCGTCGTGATTTGCTTCCGAAGAACAATCAATTTTTATCTCATCAGCAATGGATGTGTTGTGTTCAGGCTCAGCGATATGCTGCTCATCATCGATGGATGCGTGGTGTCCAGGCTCAGTGATATGCATCTCATCAAGACTAGCAGGACCGGTAGTAACTCTTTCTTTGCTGTTCTCGTCCACTGAGGCTTCTTCATCAAAAGCAAATTTTCCCATGTTTATCACTTCAACAGGACTTTGTGAGATCCCATGATCGCTTTTTGATGGTGACATTGATCCACCTTCGGAAGTCGACTCAATATGCATGCTAACATCAGAAGCTGCATCTGACTTTGTACATCTTATCAGTGTAAAGGAAGCAGCTGTTTGATTTTGCAACAAAATCCCCTGGCCATGGCTGGCACTGCATTTCCTTAGGGCAAATGCTTCTTCCTTGAGGACATTTGTAGTAGGTTCCACCTTACTTTCATCTTCAGATATTTGCGTTTCAATTTGGCTTATTGTTTCAATTTCCCCAAGATTATCATCAGATGAAGCTGCCACGGCCGTACGTAGTTCAGAAACTTGATTACTGTGCTCCGGTGCGTCAATTACCTTAGCTGCAGGAGACTGAGTCAATGGTTCAGTTCCTACAATATCCTTAACCCGGAAACCATGTGTTGGCAAGCCATCAAGAACAGAGGTGAAATCTATCGCCTTAGATGATTTGTGCGCCACAGCATTTGTGGCATCAAAAGCCTTTGCAAGATCATCTAAAAGCATGTCACCTTCACCGCTCGAGAGGGGATCCCATTTCATGCAATCTTCAGACAGAGGCTGTCCGAGGCTAAAGGTATCACCAGAAGAAAGTAATTCAACCCTGACAGCTTCTTTGTGAAACCGTTTTTTCTTTAAAACCTTGGCTATCATATTCCTGAAAGCAAATACAAAATCCATCCTTAATGAGGTAAATTTACGCTTAGCTGCATCAAATAACATGAATGCTAGACGAATTTGATACATACCTACAATTTTTTGAAATGGCAGCTCTAGCTCTTTGAGAAGAGAGTCCAAGTAAACACATGAGATTTATGATATCGTTTGGACCTCTAAGTTCTGTGACTGAAGGAGCACCACTTGATATAATTAGATTCTTCCCTCTAGTCCAATCCACCAGTAACTACATATACCATATCACAAGAAAGTATAAGCAAGTTCGCATAAAACTTTCACGCAATCAACTAAACTTTTCTACAGAAAGAGTAACAAAAATATCATCCCGCACATTACAAATATACAACGTAATCCTTGTAGCCTGAGCCCTGATATATCAACGTTTCTCACCTTAGCATTTGATATAACTTGTCTCCTCGTTTGTGCATCCATTAGGAGATCAGAGTACTTGATCTCAAAGTAAATCCCTCGCTGCACATAAGAAAATTCAACAAGGTGAAGCAAATAAAAAGAATAAGATACACACAGATTCTTCTAAGAGTGAAACAATGTCTAATCTAAGATTGAGAGAATCACAAACCTGAATAGCAGCTTTAACCATGGGATGCTTCAATCGGAATAACATCTTGTCCGTAAAATCAATCGAAATTAGATCAACCTAGGAAAACAAACAAGCTAAGAGTTAACACTCAAGAAAAAAACTTCAATTGAGCTACAAAAACAGATCTATCCCACACTAAAGATTGAACTTTTACCAGAAAAAGAGAGAAATTCAAACCTCAGCTTTCTCACAGGCATAATCGAAAGCGTTCTGATTCATCGGTCTAACAGCAATAATATCGTAGCTCTTTAGAATCGGATTCCCAGAATTCAAACTCTGACATTGAGCATTACTCTCCACATGAACGGTGAGACGCGTGTACTGCCGAAACGGAGTAGCTCGGGGGACACCGAGTAAATCGCGATGGAATCCAACAGAGGAAGCTAACCGCGGAGCGACTTTGATAAGAGATCCAAGAGTGAGAAGAGGGATCGTACAATAGTCTTTGTCAGACATTACGCCTTTGATCGAACGATTATGTGCGATCCCAACATAGCCCAGTTCCATGGCTTTCGTGGCGAGCTTTAATCGTAAGGTTTTCCCGCCGGCGATTTCCTTACCGCCTGATCGCGGCGGCTCATTGTATGGAATGCTTAGATCGAAGAACCCCATTAGTGAGTCGGAGAGTTAGTGGCGGAGAGATTTTCCGATTAGGGTTTAAGCATTAAACAATGGGTTTTTCGATATTTCACCGACTTTCGGAGAAGAAGGAAAAACACTACTAAACAAACGACGACGTATGAGCCAGTTTTCAAAACGACAGCGTATTGAAAAATGGCCAAATATAAAAATGTCACCAAAGTAAAGAGAATTGGAAATATATCAGAAGTTGGGTGTCGATCCATAAGCGGCCCATTAAATTAAAACTAGTAAGCCGGCCCATATAAACTAGTAACTACAAAGCGAAGCTGAAGAAACACTTTAGTTATCACGCGGATCACTATTAATAACCGTTGATTAAAAACAATCGACGGCTATCACGTCATATCAATATTGGCAAGGATTGAGCTTAACAGCCGTTAGATGGAATATTAAATCGGATGGTTCAAAACAAAACCCCTCTTGTATATAAACAAACACGGTCCAGTCATTTTCTAAGAATCAAAAGCAATTCTTTTTTACACATTAGGGGAAAAAAAAACTAAATTTCTCGAGAAAATGTCGGGTCGTGGAAAGGGAGGAAAAGGTTTGGGCAAAGGAGGAGCGAAGCGTCACAGGAAGGTTCTGAGAGACAACATCCAAGGAATCACCAAGCCGGCGATTCGGAGACTGGCTCGTAGAGGTGGAGTCAAGCGTATCAGTGGTCTGATCTACGAGGAGACTCGTGGCGTCCTGAAGATCTTTCTCGAGAACGTGATTCGTGACGCTGTTACTTACACCGAGCACGCCAGGAGGAAGACTGTGACCGCCATGGATGTTGTTTACGCTCTCAAGAGGCAAGGAAGGACTCTTTACGGATTCGGCGGTTGAACGGGGGTTTTTTTTTGTGTGTTTGTAGATCTGTTTCTGAAAATTAGGTTTCATGAACTCATTGTGGGTATTTTAGTAAATGTAGTTTCCTTTTTTTGCTATTTGGCTTTTGTAGTGTGTTTTCATTTGCAAAATTCTCAACAATGGAATCACAATTTGGTGAAAATTCGCTTTATTACTCGTATGATTCGACTTTGTGTTTTTACCTCGCTTTGAAATGTGAATCTGAAGATTGGTCAGACGTTTAGTCTCTTGAGCCATCAATCCAGTTCTTCATCGACGATCTACGTCTCTCGATTATTGCTAACATGGCTTGGGCTTTTCCTTTCGTTGTTATTGTGTCGGAACGACAAATTGATCTGTACTAAATTGCCCAAATTTTAAGCCCAATGAAATATCTCCGAGCCCATGAATAACATGTATGTAACACGACGACAAGAAGTTAGTTTCAAGTGTTGTTGAGTAAAGAAGCCTTTAGCCCTTTTACCAACTTTACTCATTGCGCGTAAATTTTACTTTCCCTCCATTTATGGTTTTGGTTTTATACAATTTTCATTTTGCCACGAGTGGATGATCCATAATAAGAAGGAGATAGTGATATCTTATGGGTAGCAAGCTTTGATGAATCAAATTGTCCAATTTCTTAAATTGGATATAGATTCAAAACAATGGGATATGAATAAATTGTCGTATTGCATAACAAGAATTGAAAAGATACACTAAATCAAATTCATTCCGAAACTATTCAACAATGACGTTGATACGAATAACTAAACAAAAAAATTAGAGGGAAAAAAAAAAACTAAACAGGGGCCTGAAGAGTGACACGTGTCTTTATCCGAGTGACACGTAATCTTTCTGATCCTGAATGTAAAACGACGTCGTTTCAATCATCTAATGCACTAAACAATATCCTCTTTCTTAAATTGGCTGTCTTTTAACGAAGAAGCAATCATTTATCAATCTCTCCAAGTCTCGATTTCTCATACTAGCGATAGTTCGAGGCGTTGATCGTATGTGGTAGTAGTTTCTTTTTGGATCAGTGGGTTTTTGGAATGGAGAAAGTTTCATCGCCGTCTTCTTCTTCTTCACGGAGGTCTGCTTATCTTGAAGCTCTTACACAGGAGATTAAGAAGAAGCTTACTCGGGTTTGCTCTTTTTTTCTTCTAAATTTTTTACACAGAGATCTCGATTTTCCGATTGTTGTTGTTGCTCGGTTTTGATTTCTCCCGGAAAACACGATTTGATTTCAGTGTCCCCTACGCGATTTCTCTATTTCGAGACACATGCATTTACAGAATTTCACGAATTTTGATTTGATGGTTGCGATTCTTTATTTCCTTCAAAATGCTATGTACCTGTTTGCGGTTTTTTCACGCCCAGATATCTGGATTTGGTCATTTTCGAATTTGAGAGTATAAAATTGATTTTAGACTTGTGATCATTTGTCTAGGCTGTTGTCTCTCCAGCACAAACACGCAACTTGTTGCAAGACTTATTTGCTGATATAGCTCTCGAAGTCGACGAAAGAGCGAAAGGTAACCCTTTTGATCTCCTTATTTTGTTGAATTCATGAATCAGCTTTCGAGAGAATATAACTTTTCGAGCTGGAATTTGAAGCAGATGTGATCCTTAGCAAAGAAGAGGATGTGATTTCTTCTGTTGAAGCAGATGCGGATGGTCCATTATGCTTTTTCGATGTCCTTGCTGATTATTATGTGAAAGTGTCTGAGAGGGGAAAAGATATACTTGATTTGATGGTGCAGCTCTGGAGCCAGTCCTTTGCATCACATATATTCTCTCTACTGTTTCATAAATGGGTATATGCCATCTTTACGATTTCGATTTAGTGTTATTTTCAATCCCAACGGTTTACTCTTTGGATTGTCTTTTGTCCATAACATGTTTCTTCTATATTCTTCCCAGCTGTTTGAGGTTGAGCTTGAGAATCAAGAAATACTCCTGCGCTATTCTTCAGCTCTGGTGCAGGGAGCAACAAATGTGTTCTGGTAAAATTTATGAACTTTGGCATAGCAAATTAACATTTTCTTTCATGTTGAATCGCTTGGTTCAGTGTGTATACCTCACTAGGGTCAATTGCGTACTTTGGATCTGTAGTAGTGGCATTGGCTTAATTTAAATAATGATTTTATTGTTTGTTAAGAAATGGTGTAATAGTCATTCCAAGTCTCTTGCTACTTTAGATTGCATTGCCAAGCATTATGAGGGTAACAGGTGATAATTTCGTCTCATATTAATTACAGGATAGACATCCAGACAAATACGAGGCGCTTCCAAAGTCTCTTTCGGGTATCTTCTTTTCCTCAGATAGATCACAGTTTCATTTTCGTTTGTTGGATAGTTTACGTATATAGGGAACTTTGTATAAATCAAGACTATGCTCTCAACAAAACCTCAATTACTGTATCTCCAGCTAGAACATGTAAATCACACATGCTAGAGATCATCACATCTTCTTTCTATGATGTTACCTTGTTTAATGCCTCTTATAGATCTTCTAGGCAAAAGATATTGTTTTGTACTTGTCAATTCGGGTTGTCACTGTCACGCGCTAAAATCGTCATGCCATTTTGCCACTGTAACTAACATCTCTTTGTTCTCCTAGTATCTTCTTGAGGAAGTTGCTTTGGAGCAGATGCGATTGAAAAAAATTCCCATTCAGGTGAGTGGGTTTTTCTTTATTCTCATTATGGTTCAACTGATTTCAGTCTGGAGATTGATTTTCCAATACCTAATTTCAGGCACAGAGGGAACTGTATCTCTTACTCTCTAGGTTCATTTTCTTTTACAATTCAGGTAAGACACTTTTTCTAAAAAGTTATCATTGGAACCAAAGCGTTTCTTCCTTACCTGACAAATTATTTTCCAGTGGATAAACTCGATAGCTTCTTGAGGAACTTCCCAGAGTTTCCAAATGCTTTCTTGATTGGAGGACCCGGAGATTTCCTTGTTATTGAACTAACGGATCAGGTATAGAAGCAAAAGCTTTATGACCATCTACAAATTTTCTCTCAAAATTAAATCACACACATCACTCATCTAATATATCTTATTTTATTTTGGCAGCTGCAAAAACTGAAGGTGGAACCAGTACTGCTACATTATCTTTCTCAGATGAAGATTCTTCAAGGTACATTTCTCTCCTTTAGGAACTTGTCTAGATGCTGCATCTAACATGGAATCGAAGTTAAAAGATATGTTTGATTTCATCTGCAGGTATGGAACTGAGAATGACCACTAGCACAAGGTTAAAGGCGTGTTTATACAGTTTTACCTCTCCTGGAGGTCCAATGTACCCGACAAGAGCCGTCCGTCATGCAGCCTGGGATGCTTTGGATTCCCTCTTTCCTGTGAGTATTTCCTTTTTAAAAACTCGGATTTAGACCGATGGTTTTGATTGCAAGATCCAGTGTAACTGTGTATGGGTTTTCAAGACATCATCTAAGAGTTTTAGGCAACCACATAAAAATCTAGAAGCTCCTGCTCCCGAAGCTCAGCAAAACAGTCTCAAATTCGTTCGTTCGATGTCTTCAGCCTTTGCACGTAGATCTCAGTATGGATGGGCTTGCCTTGTAACATTGTGATACTCTTATCTTGCAGGTGGGGCGTTACCCAAGGCATCTCATTAGTCTATTTTTCAGGCTGCTATATCCGTGGTACTGGCCATCCTCATGCTGGAACTTTGTGGTTTCTTGCATCAAGGCGGTATTATATTCTATCGTAAGGCTCATCTTTTCACGGAGAGAAAAGCCAAGGCAGAGCTGAATAGCTTTTACTTTTGACGAAGCTTACAGCAGGAATCCAATCCTTGTGTATATAATGTGCTTTTGGTCACAGAGGCAAACCAGAGAACCTTACCTTCACCTGTATTACTATCTACAGAGAAGATAAACTCCGTTTTGTGAAAGAACCCATGGAAAAGCTTTTGACTTGTTTTGTTGTCATTGGTGAAATTGTTATTTTGGTATAGAGGGTGATGCATTGTGACCAGAAGCCCTTCTTGTGTAGGAGATAAACCATTTCGTCCGTTTTAGTTGTACTGGATGTATAAAAACCCTTTTAAATTTTCACCATCCATGGACCATATGCTCATACGAAGTTGTGTATATCACCAATTCGACAGAGATAAATAATATGGAGAAAAACTTGAAAAGTTGAGACTCACATAAGACACATGGAGTACCACTATTCAACAATTTTGCCTCAATGGTCTGATGCAAATAAACACTATTCAATCAAAATTCTGCGCGCATATGATCTGTAGACGAAACTGGTATTCCTTCCTCTGCCTTTTACTCGAGGGTATTAAGATAGACAACAACTTTAAAGTAACACATATTCTCAATTCTGTAGAGTCATTCTAATGAAACAAATGAACAACACACTGCCAAAAAGGCGATAAGTGGCAAAGCCTCTGGCAAACATTTTTCTCGATCCTCTTACTCCTAAAACCCTCTAGCGGTTTGAGAAGATCGGTCACATTCCTTAGTTTGTCTCCATATCTCCAGAATGGTACTTATCAAGATCCGCATCAAGATCTTCAGCAGATATTTTCTCTGCAGGACCCTTACCAGGACGCCTGCCACGACCACCACCACCACGGGCACCACCTCCTCGACCACCGCCTCGTTGTTGACCACCTCTCCCTTGTCCTCCTCTGTTAACCCAGCAAGACAAACACTTTCAATACACCTCACAAGATGGAAGAAGCTTTTACATATAATACCTAATAACGAGCAGTGCTTAATCTCACCTCCATGGAGCACCATTAGAGTTTCCATTTGCAGGTCTACCAGACGGGGCAGCAGCCGTTTGAAGATTGGTGCCCACAATCTCTATCTTCATGGGTTTTCCATCCAGCTGAACATCATTGTACTTCTTCACAGCTGCGAGTGCATCGCCACGCCGAGAGTATACTACTTCAGCAGTTCCCTAATGGTATAAAGTAGTTTTTAGTCTTCAAGTCTCAATAAGAGGAAATAGACACACGATGCAACAAAAGTATCATCACAAGTACTACCTTTGATCTTCCACTCCTATCGAAATGAACGGTGTAGCGTTTAAGTTCTCCGACTTCAGCAAACAGTTCCTACATATTAACAAACATATTCATATTAACAACAACTTCGCAAGATCGAATCCATTGGTAAAACGATGTTAGATTCCACAAACACTAACTATGCATATTGCTAATAAGGTATTGTAACAATTTTGGTACCTTGATGTCTTCGTTCATGACACCGTAATCCAAATTGGATATGTAGAGCTTGGTTCCAGTTTCGATTCCGGCGGAAGAACGGGGAGGGAAATCTTCAGATCTATCGGAAAACATGTCGTGACCCCAGGTAGACTCCGGCGCCTATACAACCAAATGAATCCGTTGTTTGATTTTTTCCACGTATTGAGAGATTGATCAACACCAAAAGCTTTTTTTTAAAGAAAACGTCAACGCAGAGTCTATTTTCCACTATGAATCGGCAGATCTGAGAAGAAAGATCCCGCGAAACTAGAGAGAAGAAGAAGAAGAAGAAGAGACAAGAGAGAACAGATGTAGAACGGATTTGGACCTTGGCTGATTGGTATGGAGCAGATCGGGTTGATTTCCGATTAGGGTTGTTGCGGCGAGTTGGACCCGGTCCGGTTCCACGGGCGGGGCCGGCTCCACCACGAGACTTACGGTTCTTGGCGATCATGTCGTCGAGAGACATATCTAATCCAGTCGACATCTCGAAATTTCTCCGATCGACGTTTCTCTTTGGACGGCGGAGGAGCGAGAAATAACAAGAGAGACGGCGAGAGAAGAAGAGAATCTATATATACATTTTTGGAACACTTTTAGCAAATAAATCCTGGGGTTGGACAATATTTACAAAGAATGCCATTGGCATTTATTATTACTTTTACAAAATTTAAATAAAAGATATTAACCAAACAATATCTTGCCTAATTTGTTTCTAAAAATCTCTACACAATCTTTTCATATATCTTCAAAACAATTTATAGCAAATATTTATATTAACATTTTGCATAGCAATAAAAATACTAATTTATAATAATCAAAATATTCACATTGAAAAATCAAATACACATAAGGAAAAAGAACTATATCTATCATCATTTAAGCCGTTGCTTTATTTAAATAAATAAAAAAAACACAAAAACTTGAAATCATCTACTTTATATGATAAATTTAAAATATATATTAGTAGTATAAATTTAAAATCGTTCAAAGAACGGTATACTACGGGTGAGATCCTAAAATTATTAGATTTTATAACAATAATAATTTATTTTCTTGGATTTTATAATACTAATAATTTAGCTAACGAGATAATATAGACGGGTTTATATGGGATGACGGGTTTGGGTCGATATTAATAAATAACGGTATATCACGGATGAAATCCTAAAATTAACAATCAAAATACAATTATACAATCTTAAACACAAAACTAAAGAAACAATATTAACAAAATAAATCCAACTTAAATTTAAAATTTTTAGTTATAAAAAAAACCGACCCACGGTATACTGCAGAGTAAAATATTCAAAATTTTAAAATCCACCATACATCGTTACTTAAAAAAATGTATGTTTTCGTATCTATACTTCAAAAATTGATAGATAGATATCTACATTTAAAAATACAAATAATATGATATATCTTCAGTTAATCTTTTATAAAATAACATTACATTTTTTTAAAAAATATAGCTCCGCGGTATACCGCGGGTTAAATTCTAGTGTTTAACAAAAGTCGAAAAGATGAGCCGACACAAGAGTAAAAGGTGCAATGTCAAATTCTGTTATATGTATTATTTTAGGTTGAGAAAGACCATCAAAGGTTTCGTGGTGTAGTTGGTTATCACGTCAGTCTAACACGCTGAAGGTCTCCGGTTCGAACCCGGGCGAAGCAATAACTCATAGTTTATCTTCTATTTTTTTTATTTTTACAGCTTTGAATTTTAAGTGACTTTGATACAATTTTCTTTTTTTTTTTTTTTTTTTTTTTTCATCTGAATTTTATTAATAACCAAGAAAGGATACAAGGTGAAATACTTATGCCGGCGGACTACATAAATATCCCCAGAAACATTTGCCCAAAAGAGGGAAGCTAAGCCCTAAAATATAGGGAAACCGATTAAAACCAAATACTATAGAGACAAACACGAAAGAGGAACAAACGCTGAGGAGAAAAAGCAATCTAAGCACTAAAATTGAACAAAGGCAAAAGAGACTCTCACAAAGCTTCCCTATAGAACCTGTAAACGTCGGAAGCACCAAAATGCCCGGAAAGACCTCACACCGAAGACAAACCAGTAGCAAACCAACAGGGAGGAAAGCAAGAATCCAACGCGACCAGAGACACAAATACAACTACCAACACACCTCACCAGCTAATCGGAGAGAGCAAGAAACACTAGGGACAAGGCAAAAACCTTACAATCGACTGGAGACAAACCACAAAAGATCAACAATTCTTACACGCGGACACTCGTCGAAACAGCTTCAGCCACCTACAGACTTAAAACTGACGACGTCCTCGCAAGAGAAGAACTAGAGAACGATTCAACTGCTTCGACTAGAACCTAACTCCAAAACTTCCAAAGGAAACTCAAAGAGAGGCTAGTATGTGACTCAGCAACAAAATACCATCAAAATGGCTCACACCAAGAACGAACCTAGAGCAAAACGCACCACTAACCAGCAAGAGGACTTGAAGGAGAGGTAGAGCAAAGACCAATTTTAAAACCCACAAACGGAGCCACCTCCAACTAATTAAGCCTCACAAACCACAACCAAACCTAAAGGAAGCAAACTAAAAAGATTCATCTAACCCAAGCAACTAGAAGGTTGGCTTACCGGACTAGAGAAACAGACGAGACAACGGCCACGGATCCACGAACCACCAGACCTCGAGATCAACAAGGAGCCCGAATCATCGCCCAAACTTACAAGAACAGAGCACCCGACAGATCTCGGACACCCAACAACAACTCTCTGAGGAGAAGTTGACCACCGACGAAGCCACACAGCCGCTTCGCCGAGAAGATCCATTGTTTCCACCAAGTGAAGCTTTTCTCCGTCGAAAACCAGAGCTAGACGAAAGGCAAAAAAACTAACAACACGGAAAGGAAACTAAAGACCCTCTCACGACAGCAACGGCGAGAAGCGCCGGCCACCGGAGAGGTCAATCGGAAAATTTTTTGTTGGTGGCGGCTAGGTTTGAGAGGTTTTGGGGAAGACACGATATTTTTGATGGAAAATATCTTCTAACACTCGCAATGACTTTGATACAATTTTCTACAAGAACAAAAAATTAGGCAATTCAACATGTTTCGGGACCCTGTTCCATAACTAATATGTGATCATGCTCTCGTATAACAATGATGATGATAGTGTCAAGCTTCTTGCAGGTGTGTGTGGTATGTACATATTGTGGTGTATAAATAACCAGCATCGTTTATTAGAAAATAAAAATCACTCTGTATTACATTGCAATTGTTGGAAATATAAGATAGAACAGTGAATGAAATAATACAACCATGACAAAACCACTCATCATTAAACGTAAGTTCAAACTTCTTCACCCAAATAACTCGATAAACATGAACGGGAACAGATATACTCATTGTCTTCTTTATATTTCTTTAGGATGACGGAGGCCTTGCATCGAGACTGACATTGGATGCATAATGGTCGAGTGTTGTGATTGTTAGGAACCATCTCAAACTCGATTTTTTTTTTTTCAAACCAATAGATTTGTCCTGGCATGAGACGTGAAAAATCTCCTAGTACACACTGAGCATGCAAGGTGACTCCACAATCAGAACATGTATAGAACCATATACTTGGATCTAATTCCCTCTCACAAATGTCGCACCAATATTTACCGCTCGCCTTTTCCTTTTCTCCACAGCATAAAGTGAGAGGGTGCCCATCGTTCCTATGCCAAATCTTTTCTGGCAAAGTAGCACAATTCAAACACAAATCAAAGTCACAATCTTCACAACGAAGCATATAATCATTTATATTCTTTTGGCATCCATCGCAGTGGTGAAGCTCTTCTTTAGCAAAATATAAAGGATGTTTATGGCCATCATGGACGAGCGGCTCATTAAGGGAACCACAATGTACATCTACATCCGACCAGCCATGGGAGCTGTACGTGAAACCATCAGAGAATATTCCACACCGCTTGCAGTCTGTAAGTTTGGTAGTTTCTGTCATTAATGTGTATGGTCTGGTGCCAAAGACAAGTCTTTTCTTCATAGGAAGATTAGCACACTTTTCATGAAGAATGAAAGGACACTTTTCACAGCAGTAGATCGAATCAAATCCAACTGGATGGACACATGCTGCACATCGTATGCGCTCATCATGAATGACGTCGTCCTTGTGGTTGTGGAGCTTTAGAGGATGCTCTTCATGACTAAAATGGCATATCAAGTTATCACCCACCTCCTTGAATGGTGAAATGTCTTCTATGATCTCAGGAATCCCTTCCAATTCTACGCCATCCCATACGTCAGTTCTCACCGCGCATCTAGTATGAACTGCATAGTTAGGGCAAACAGAGCAAGAATAAGCCCCCTTGAACTGACTTACACTTTTGTGACAAACTCCGCATGAAGAATACCCAGCGCCGAGATGATGAGTGAAATGAATGCGATGATCATGACGATTGATATTGATGACACGGGGGCAGTCGATACACCCTCCTGTAGTAACAAAATCACACTGAAGACATACATACACCACAAACTCGCATTTTATCCCACACATGTCACAATTACATGAGATTCTTCTAGGAAAGATAGTAAGTGGGTGTTTGTGGGTCTTGACATGCTCAATAACAAGGGGTGGTGGGTTTTTGGTACAACCAAGGCACGATGTGAAATTGCAAATGGAACAATGATATAGCAATTTTTCAGTTTGTATTTTTCCACATAAAACGCAGCTTTTCTCGGCATCATCCGTAAGTGACTCAGATGCGATTAACTTGAGAGGATGAATAGAATGACATGGATGATTTACCTCTTTCGAGAGATGGACGCAATCCACGTGGAAGTACACATCGCATTCAAGACATGAAAAGGATGGACCTTCAATAGACTCCTTGCATAATTCACAAGGAACCTTCTCCTCCCGTATCTTCAAGAAGACAACTGGATGGTCATGACACAGCGGATGTTCGATAGCGGGCGGTGATGGTTTCATCCCACAAATCAAATCTACCTTGAACTCACATGTGGAACAACTGTAAAAGGGAGGCAGTAGCTTCTGTCCACACAAATCACAAGGACCATCTCTCGAGACATTGGTGAGCATGAGAGTATGCTGGGGATGGAAACTATGCTTGATCTCCGCGGGGGCCTCGGCGCACTCCTTATGAAACCAAATATAACAGTAAGGTTCATTGCAAAAGTAGCAGCCGTACATGACACCATTTACATGGCAGCCAGCACATTCACCTTTAATACATCGAGCTGAAGGAAAAAGAGGGTGCTCATGAATTGGTAGGTTTACTGCTGTTGTAGCCATTTTTCTGATCGGATACAAGTGAACGAATCAAAGAGGTTTGTTAATTTGTTAGATTGAGATCTCCAAGTGAAGCCGGAAGACGTTGATATATATAATATGCCTGTGTAATCCCAAAATAATAGCAAGTGTCAAAAGTTATTTGCAAAATGACCATCACCTATCTTAAATAAACAAACCACACCCTCTATTTTTATAAAAGAAACTAACATCCACAAGTTTTTCCATCAACGCACGTCAATTAAACTTTGTAATATCACCTTTTCTTTTTTTTTCCAGAACTCCAAACACATCAAAGTTTTATGATAAAACTGGCTAAATAACCTATGTAGTTATAAACTCCAAACACATAAAAGTTTTAAATCATCAACTCTTCTTTTTCTTTTCCATTCGCCTTTCCTTTTCTCAGATCAATCATATTACTTATAAAGTTATAGTTGTTGGTTCGTACGTAGTTTCTAGTGGATGAATTATAGTTTTATCGTTGCGCTGATTTCTACTGACTGGAATATATCCGGCGATTATACTTTCATTTGGACTATAATCACCCCATATAATACGTTGTGTCAGCGTCAGTCTAAACGCACAAGGTCAATTTTGTTTCATTCAGGAGTTTGGGCTGAAAAGATATTAAAGAAAATTCTTAGACATTATTGCAATTTACCGTAATATAAATCAGAATATAATAATAATTATTATTAATTATGGATTGTCGAAAGTCTTTCTCTTCTTTTTAACTACTCAAATAGTTGAACTTAAACAAATGTTCCACAGGCTCATTCTTATATAATTTATTTGTCGTAGACGTGGTCGATAAACGTAAGTCGTCGGCGTCTTTGTCACGATGTGAATAATTTCTACATTTTAAATATTTTTTTGAAAAGGCCACATGTAAACAACTAAGAGATTTAGACTTCTATAATAGTTATTGTACTCCCCTATTTCGTTTTAGTTGTCGTTTAAGGTTTTTTCACACAAATTAAGAAAAACATTAAATTTTTTGTTTTACCCTTTATTAATATATTTTATAAAAAAATTCATTGACCACAATACTAAAACAACAAGGATAATACTGGAATTTTTACCAAACATTTGCATTGAAAACCTAAAACGACAACTAAAACGAAACAAAATTTAAATCCTAAAACGACAACTAAAACGAAAAGGAGGGAGTATGTTTTATGGATTAATGATTAGTCAAATGACTTATATAAAAATGTCATAATTTATGATTCAAAACTTTTTAGTTCTTTACAAATGACAGGAGACTGTAACATACTAGTTTTTATTAATATCACCACCATAACATAATTGATAATTCGATAAGTCAATTCGAATTTGGAAATATTCATAGAAGAAAATGGTGGATTTATGTGGATGCAAAAGTGTTTAGAGAATTTAGAAAGTAATGATTTCCGGAATGAATGTAAAATTGGTGTTTAGATGTTTAGTGCAGTAATAATATTTGATCAAACAAATAAAAAATATATATAACAATAATAATTAGTATGGACTGTGAAAAGTCTTTTTATATACTACTCAGATGTAGATGAGCTCGTACAAATTTTCCACAGCTTAATTTTTATAGTATGATTTATTTGTCATATAGACGTGGTGGACATGGTTCATAAATGAAAGTCTCCTCTTGTCTCGATTTGAATCATTACTTCAAAATTTAAAATTCAAAACAGCCAAGAGTCTTAGTCCTCGAGTAATTCTTAATAATTTGATGATGCGAATCTCAAGTTAATCAAGTCTGAGAGTTGTAATGACACCAAACCCTATAATTATTTTATTGTTTTCTTATAAAAATTGATTAGTCAAGAGATATATCCAAAATTAGCATTAAATTTGTAACAAATTTTAAAGCATTGAGGAAAATCAATATAGTTGACAAAATTAATTATCGTTAGTTATGATATGGACCTAATATCTTACAGAAAGGCCTCAAACCATAAACGGGTTTAATAATTTGGTTGGGCTTGATATCTCAAAAAAGGAAAACCGAAACTATCTAATTTTAATCTGAACCGTTGAAATTCAGCTGATGATATATTGACCGTCTATTGCTTTTACAACTTTTATCTATATACATACATTAATGCCCTCTTGCTAAATTTCGGAAAGTTGTGTTCTTGGTTTTTCCAAATATACATATAGTAATTTGTGATTTAAGTAGTTTAGGGATGGTTCAGAGTTTCCCAAGGGGATTGTCTTCATTCTACATAAGAGTATATGAGACTGTGGATGATCCTTCATTGGATCCAATTATATCCGTGGAGCAAAATCAACAATAGTTCCATTATTTAGAATCTTGGAGACTTTTGCAGAAGAAAGATTCTGCCGAAATATGTAGAATTTGGCAGAAACTTTTCACGTTTTACCTCCAAGTTTTACCATGTCTTTAAAGTTTAGGGGACTGGGCAATTGGAAGTTGGACATGGTAAACCAGAGCTTTTGAATAAGATGATGGTCAAAGCTTACACAGCAAGCAAAAAAAGCTAAAGCCAAAGCAAAGAGAGCTAGAGCGCAAGTAGAGTTTCTCTTACTTGTAAACATATGTTTTGTAACCTTTTTGTGTTATGTTTGAAACACAGTAAGGTTCATTGCAAAAGTAGCCGCTGTATATGTAAAACCATTTACATGGCAGCCATCACATTCATCTTAAAGATCGAGTTGAAGGAAAAAGAGGGTGCGCATGAATTGTTAGGTTTACTGCTGTTGTAGCCATTTTTTTATCGGGGACAAGTGAATGAATCAAAGGGGTTTGTTAATTTGTTTGATGAGATCTCCAAGTGAAGACTGAAGGCGTTATTTATATTTATGATCTCCATAAATTGGGTGTTTGGTGTATCTCATCAAAAAATGCTATCTGGTTGGTTTACAATACAACTGTTCTGGTTTGGTTCATAGACTTCATACCATAAAAACAAAAACTATTTTCGTGTGGTAAGTGCTAGATAGGCTACTTATCTTATAAACTCCAAAACACTTAGCCTGGGCCCTGTAATACAATTCTCATGCTTTTAAACATTTTTGTCTTTTCCTAAAAACAAAAACTATTTTCGTGTGGTAAGTGCTAGATAGGCTACTTATCTTATAAACTCCAAAACACTTAGCCTGGGCCCTGGATGTTGGAATCTAGACATTGATCAATCCTCAAATTGGTAAAATGGAACGAAGCTTGAGAAGAGAAAGTGATGAAGATCAGAAGGGAACACAATCAAAAGAGATGAAGACGTCGTAGGAATGGAAGAGTCAAAGAGAGATGGTTTACTCTTGTTTTGGGTCATGAGAGAATTTACAATCAATAGAGAGATTGAAACATGAGAAGAGACAACTTAGATATTTCGGTTCCCACTCTTGCATTGTCAGATCTACTCCATTTCACATCACACACACTCTTTACATAATCTAAACCAATACTAAGAATAAATCAAGCATGCGACCAGCAACAACAATGTAATCATAGTTCACAACATGAAACAAAAGCAATAGAAACTAAACGAGTATTAAAGCTATAGAATATTCTAGCAAGTACTGTATAACACAAACAACTCTCAGCTACTGAAACAAATCTGGAAATAAAAAAGAACACTAAGCTATCAACAATACTCGATTCAGGAAAAGAAACCACATCCGGAGAAGCACAAGTTGGATAATATAATCAACAACGATTACAATGCACGATGACATAAGATCATATTAGCTAAAACAACGGTTGAAGTTATATATATACCACAAACAATTCATGTTATGATCACTCTTCATAGGGCACTTACTGAATTGTGGTTACTAGATCACAATGTAATTTATTAAAGGCATAGATGAAACTAAGTAAAACAAAGAGCAACTCTAGATACGATAGAATTGGGCACAAAGAGCAAATATAAGCAATAGCAGCAGAAGTACTTACAAAACGTAAAAATCGCAAACGAAACAGATACTTAAAAGACAATCTAACAACCCTAATTCAGTTCTCCCAAATTCCATTAACCCTAAAGCAGCAACATCCAGATGATAAGAGAGAAAAAAACCCTAACTCAATTATTCAAGAGCTGGTGAATTTCGTGACGGCCTTAGTCCCCTCAGAAACAGCATGCTTCGCCAACTCTCCAGGAAGCACCAATCTCACAGCAGTCTGAATCTCCCGGGACGTGATAGTAGGTTTCTTATTGTACCTCGCAAGCTTCGACGCCTCTTGAGCAAGCTTCTCGAAGATATCGTTGATGAAACTGTTCATAATCCCCATCGCTTTGCTTGAGATTCCGATATCGGGATGAACTTGCTTAAGCACCTTGAAGATGTAGATCTTGTAAGTCTCGATACTCTTCTTCTTCATCTTTTTCTTCTTGTCACCTCCAGCACCAGCCTCCTTCGGGAGTTTCTTTCCGGCCTTTGGTTTCTTCTCCGCCGGAGCTTTCTCGGCTTTTGATTTCTCCTCCACCGGCTTCTCGGAAGCTGGTTTCTTCTCAGCGGGCTTCTTCTCTGCTTTCGGCGCCATTGATTCGGTTTCTCGAGGTTTCTAGGTTTAACGAGATCTGAGAGGTTAAATGGCTTTGGATTGCTTGATAACCTAGAAAAACTTGAGAGATTGCTTTTATATAGATCGTATGGAGTGATATGATTGGATGAAATAGATTGACGCGGATCGATATCTGCACCGTTGGATCTGCTTTTTCATGTAAACATATCGACGGTTGAAAAGGAATCTTAAAAAGAAGGAAAGCTCTTACACGTGACGGTTCTTATTGGATACTCTTGGTGGCAAGGACTGCTGACGTGTGCAGTTTGGCGCATTTTAGGCTCCTCGTGAAATATTCCTTCCCGCCCCCGCCATTCTCTAAAATTTCTCAACTGGCCCCATGTATTTTGAAAAGCCCAATTTTAAGCCCATTTGGAATTGGTGAGGGTGAGACCCGACCCGGGCGGGTTCCCAGATATCGGTTCGTTGTTTGTAACACAGTCCCGACAATTGCTGGTTCTGATTTTTACGGTGGACCTCTTTGATGAAGCTCCCTTGCACGATTCGATCATTATCAAGCTCTCATTTGCGCTATAGCTTTAGAAATCTAAGCTCTGTGATCGATTCTTCTCAAGAAGCATGTAGAATCGGTGAAGATAAGCAATTTGTTGATTCCGTCAGAAGAATCGTGCGAGGGAAACGGAGCTGGGAGATCGCATTGAGCAGTGAGCTAGTCTCGAGAAGACTGAAGACTATTCATGTTGAAGAGATTTTAATCGGAACCATTGATGATCCCAAATTGGGTTTGAGGTTTTTCAATTTCCTCGGTTTACATCGTGGATTCGACCACTCCACGGCGTCGTTTTGTATCTTGATTCACGCTTTGGTCCAAGCTAATCTCTTCTGGCCTGCTTCATCACTGTTACAGACGCTTCTACTTCGTGCGCTGAAGCCAAGTGAGGTTTTTGATGCGCTTTTTAGTTGTTATGAAAAATGTAAGCTTAGTTCAAGCTCGAGTTTTGATTTGTTGATTCAGCATTATGTACGAAGTAGGAGAGTTTTAGATGGGGTTTTGGTGTTTAAGATGATGATGACGAAAGTTAGTTTACTACCTGAAGTGAGAACTTTGAGTGCTCTTTTACATGGATTGGTTAAGTTTAGGCATTTTGGTTTGGCAATGGAGTTGTTTGACGATATGATCAATGTGGGGATTCGTCCTGATGTATACATTTACACAGGAGTTATACGTAGCTTGTGTGAGTTGAAAGATCTCTCTCGAGCTAAAGAAATGATTGTTCAAATGGAGGCAACAGGATGTGATGTGAATATAGTTCCATATAATGTGTTGATAGATGGGCTTTGTAAGAAGCAGAAGGTTTGGGAGGCTGTTGGGATAAAGAAGGATTTAGCCGGAAAAGAGCTGAAACCAGATGTTGTGACATATTGTACATTAGTCTGCGGGTTATGTAAAGTGCAAGAATTTGAGGTCGGATTGGAGATGATTGATGAAATGTTACGTTTGAGGTTCAGTCCTAGTGAAGCTGCGGTTTCAAGTTTGGTAGAGGGATTAAGGAAGAGGGGAAAGGTTGAAGAGGCGCTTAACTTGGTTAAAAGAGTAGCAGAATTTGGTGTGTCACCTAATATATTTGTGTATAACGCATTGATTGACTCATTGTGCAAAGGTAGAAATTTTGATGAAGCTGAGTTGCTATTTGATAGGATGGGGAAAATTGGGTTGTGTCCGAATGATGTGACCTATTCAATTTTGATAGATATGTTTTGCAGAAGAGGAAAACTGGATACTGCACTTAGTTTCCTGGGGGAAATGATTGATATGGGTTTGAAACCAAGTGTATATCCATACAATTCTTTGATAAACGGGCACTGCAAGTTTGGTGACATTAGTGCAGCAGAGAGTTTAATGGCCGAGATGATTAATAAAAAGTTGGAGCCAACAGTGGTAACATACACATCATTAATGGGTGGATATTGCAGCAAAGGTAAAATAAACAAGGCCCTTAGGCTCTATCATGAGATGACAGGGAAGGGTATTGTGCCGAGTATCTATACATTCACCACGCTTTTATCGGGTCTATTCCGTGCTGGGTTGATTCGTGATGCAGTAAAGCTGTTTACCGAGATGGCAGAATGGAATGTTAAGCCAAACAGAGTGACTTATAATGTCATGATTGAAGGTTATTGCGAGGAAGGAAACATGTCTAAAGCCTTTGAGTTCCTGAATGAGATGATCGAGAAAGGTATTGTGCCTGATACATACAGTTATAGACCGTTGATACACGGGCTATGTCTCACAGGTCAAGCTTCGGAAGCCAAAGTGTTCGTGGATGGCCTTCACAAGGGAAATTGTGAGCTGAATGAGATATGTTATACCGGGCTCTTACACGGATTTTGCAGAGAAGGAAAATTAGAGGAGGCATTAAGCGTTTGTCAGGATATGGGACTAAGAGGGGTGGATTTGGACCTTGTGTGCTATGGTGTTCTTATAGATGGAAGTTTAAAGCACAAAGATCGAAAGGTGTTTCTTGGACTTTTAAAGGAGATGCATGATAGAGGACTCAAGCCTGATGATGTGATTTATACAAGTATGATTGATGCAAAGAGCAAAACCGGAGATTTCAAGGAAGCATTTGGGATATGGGATTTGATGATAAACGAAGGGTGTGTACCTAATGAAGTCACTTACACTGCTGTTATCAACGGATTATGCAAAGCCGGATTTGTTAATGAAGCCGAGATTCTTTGTTCGAAAATGCGGCCTGGCAATTCGGTTCCTAACCAAGTAACATACGGTTGTTTTCTCGACATCCTCACCAAAGGAGTAGGAGACATGAAGAAAGCTGTGGAGCTCCATAATGCAATATTGAAAGGGCTTTTGGCAAACACTGCTACATACAATATGTTGATCCGTGGTTTTTGTAGACAAGGGAGAATGGAAGAAGCTTCTGAGCTCATAACAAGGATGATAGGCGATGGTGTTTCGCCGGATTGTATAACCTACACAACAATGATCAGTGAGCTTTGTAGGAGGAACGATGTGAAGAAAGCGATTGAGTTATGGAACTCGATGACCGAAAAAGGCATAAGGCCAGATAGAGTAGCATATAACACCCTAATACATGGTTGTTGTGTGGCAGGAGAAATGGGGAAGGCGACCGAGTTGAGGAATGAGATGTTGAGACAAGGCTTGAAACCGAACACCGAAACCAGTGAAACAACTATTTCGAATGACTCTAGTTCCAAATCCTGACCCCTTTTTCTAATTGTATAAGTTGAAACATTCTTTGACGTCCCAAGTCTCAATAGATAGGAAATAATTTGTTTAGTCTAGATTTCAGAAAGGTATATACTGTACTTTTTGCATTTTTTATTTCCACAAAAGAGAACAAAGGGAAGCTTAAAGGAATCATCATACACAAATCTTAGTCATAAGCTTTGGTATAGGTGAAACAAAGGAAGCAAACACAGGACAAACCTTGAGATAATTTTGAATTTAGATGAAACACTGTAAGGTAACATAGACACAGAAAACAGACCAGACAGAATGAAGGGTGTTAGGTGTTTCTAACAGTCACAAGAAACTGTAAGAGAATAGAAAACACCATTTCAGAATAGTCGAATATGATAAAAAGCTTATTCAAAGAGAGTTTCTTTTAGTTGACGCGGCTTTTCAAAACGTCAAGATCCATCTCAGTTGGATCAGTTGCCTGAAGCTCCACTTGAATTCCATCAAGTTCACGCTTGAACCTGTCCTTGGAGCTAGCATAGATCATCTTGCTTCTCACCTTTGCTACGTCCGGACACCTTTGGCAAAAACAACAAGGTAAGAATGGAGAAATGAGATTACATGGTTTTAGCAGATAATAACAATGGGAGAAACGAGAAATCATTTTACCATGCAATGAAGAAAATCTTGCTCTTCTGGCAATTCTCCGCAGTGACAAAGTCGAAATCATAAATGGCGTATCGGCATTCCTCAGCTGGAAGACTTGCTGCAAAGTCCTCGTAAGTTAGAATAGGTTCACCAACTTTCTCAACAATCACTTGCTTCTGCTTCTCCTCGATCTTGTAGACAATGAAACGATGTGTCCTTTTCGCCTTCAGTTCCAGAAATCTCAGCTTGCAGTCATCATGGACTGCCATTCCCGACGCCGCATTAGCCTGTTTTCAATCAAACAAGAAAAGCACTAAGATTCACATTCCAGATCCCACAAAGCTATGCTATAATTGAATCCACACAATGCTAAAACCATTGATCTCTTATTTAGGAGTCTTAGAAATTTCCTGAAACCTAGCTCAACACAAACTCGTTAATACATCTCTAGCAACGATCTAGACTTCAATTGCAACTGTTAGAGTTATCGATTTCAACACACAACAAGCCTGATGGATCAAACAAACGAATAACATAGTAGAAACGTTCAATAATTTATGAAACTACAAGCGAAAACACACACAAAAGTAGCAGATTCTTCATGATTTCGATTCTAACAAACGAAGCACCAACTGGATCAGTGACTCCGATCACATAAACAAAAAAAAAATCTCAAAGATCTAATCGGAGAAAACAAATCCATCTCCCAGATCTAGTGAGCCAAAATCGTTATTTAAAAATCCAACACGAAATCAAAAATTCTAAAGGCTAGCTTAAAAATTGAAGAACTTCAAACAAACAATAAGAGAACATAGAAGAAGTGAAAATGGAGTATCACCATGGCTGAATCAAAACGGTGTGAGAGACAATTTCCGGTGAAAGGAGACGCAGAGAAGAATGAATGATGCTTTCAACGAATATGACTCTTTTGCTTCTTCTCTTTACTTTCTTCTGCGTTATTTGGAAGCTAAATCCCGAATATATAGAGAACCTGCTTTTTGTATTTATTTATTTTCTTCGTATTATTCTTCAATTTATTTTTGAATAAATTAAATAACTATATGGTAAGCATATTATTATTGTTTTTGGTCAACATATAATAATCATCTAACTATATATATAAGCAAATATTAAACAATCCAAATAGAGAGTATAATTAAATTATTGATTGATTACTAGTATTTTGTTTCATTGACATTTGTTGGATTTGGTTCACTCTAAAAGCTTGATGTATATATATTGTGGACTAAGATATGTTCTGACAAAGTCTTCATGATTTGACTGTTTAAAGCTTGCGTAACAACTGCCAATTGTTGGATCTGTTTCTAAATAAATATCAAAAGTGTCAATTAGGATTTTACGTTTTGAGGTCAGTTTATCTTGTTGGACAAAACCCGATTGAGCAAATCTTCTCGTTATTGGGACTATCCTAATCCTTCGCAATGTTGTAATCCCTGGATCACTAGTTTCATAAATATGTGAAGACGAAGAGAAGAGAAGATGGTGCCAATAGGATTCTTGTTTAATAAAGGGTTCGAGTTTCTTCCACAATGGTAAAAGAGCACAAGCCAGATTCCTTACGTTTTAAGACAACACTATAAGGACACAAAAAAAGAGACCGAAGACAAAGACCAAAGACCGATAATAAAATGAAGCTGTTTAGGTTGGTACCGTCACAGCAAACTTCAAGAAAAAGCATCACTGAGTAAATAGTACGAAAAAAGTTTGATTCAACCGAAATTTTCAGGGGAATTCTTCATCAAGTGGCTCGGCTTTTGAAAACATCAAGATCCATCTCGGTTGGATCGGTTGCCTGGAGCTCGATCTGAATTCCGTCTAGTTCTCTCTTGAACCTGTCCTTAGAGCTCGCATAGATCATTTTGCTTCTCACTTTTGCTGTGTCCGGAGACCTTGGCAAAAAACAACAAGAGATGTTAATGAAAAGAAGGTGAAACCAAGATAGACAGGTTTTAGCAGAGATAGTAGTTGGTTAATAATTACCATGCGACAAAGAAAATCCTGCTCTTTGGGACATCCTCTGCAGTGAGAAAATCAAAATCGAAAACGGCATAGCGGCATTCATCAGATGGAAGACATGCTGCAAGGGCCTCATGGGTTTCAGCAGGTTCACCGATTTTCTCAACAACCACTTGTTTCTGCTGCTCCTCAATCTTGTAAACGATGAAACGGTATGTCCTTTTCGTCTTCAGCTCCATAAATCTCAGCTTGCAGTCATCATGGACTGCCATTCCTGATGCTGCATTAGCCTGTTTAACAACAAAACAAAGAACATTAAGATACAACTCTCTTCAAAAGACACTACACCCATTTCTCAAAACGGTGTTTCGGGTTATACATTAGTAATGAAACCAAACATCTCTACTAACATGTAAATGAATCATGAACATAGATCTTGGTAGTGTTTATATCAAAAGGAAGACGTAAGTAACTTCCACAACATATATGAAAGATGATGTAAGAGCTATCACAGTCTCAATTTGACGGGAATCGAGCGATACCTTCCATCAACAGAATCAAAAACACATCTGAAATAAACAATCTACACTTATATAGCAGTAATAGTAATTCAGAGAAGCGAGTAAACAACTTTTAACAAATGAAAAACACTCAAGACGTAACCCTAAATCCAAAAATGAAATTCAAAGAAAAAAACAGCCAGATTCCTTCTGATTTCAAAATCAATTTGCTTAACCAAAACAAGCACACTGAAATTGAAGAGTTTATTATCGTTCCGAATCATATCCTAGATCGATCAGTCCATCTAACCAAACAAATCCAAAATCTCAGAGATCTAAACCAACAAACGAGTCCAGCTCCAGATCTAATCAGATCTAACTTCAGGCGAGAGCTAAAATCGGAGGAACTGAAAATCTAAGACGAAATGGAACTCGAATCGAGAAGCGCAGTTCAAATCAACCAAGAGAGAAGAGAGAAAGAGAGATAAACAAGAGAGAATTGAGCTCACCATGGCTGAATCAAAGCTAGTCTCAGAGAAAATTATTGAAGAGACGAAGAAGAAGCAGGAGAATAATGGAGTCTTGTGTTTTTCTTCGGTGTGCGTCTTCTCTCTTTCTTTTACTCAGCTTTATGCGGAGCTCTCTAGTCCGAATAAGCAAACATGTGTGAGCGTTTTAATTTGCTTTATTTATTATTACATTGACCATAAAAAAAAAAATAAAGCATAATATATTTCATAAATCATTCATTATTTTAAAAGGTAAAATCTTGATTTAATTAACAAATCGTATCTTCAACAATCTAAATCCTTAAAAAAAAATTCCTAATAATATGGTCACTACTCTATGAAATAACACTAATGCTCTTATGTGAGGATGTGTGAAAATTTTGTTATTATTTTTTTATTGTATGTCTTACATGTTAGCAAACATATTTACATGGAACCATGATGTCATAACTGAATAAAGATTTTAACTTATTGTAATAATTGAATAAAGATTTTAACTTTATTTTATGCCAAACAAAAAAATAAGTAATATACATATGTGAAATCTATAACAATTTGTTGAACAATTAATTTACTTTATTTTATGCAAAACCAAAAAAAAACTATTCTTTTTTTTCTAATAATTATGTTTTTTATTCCGTATATTTGCTTTTTATTACATACTTCTAATGTATTCTACTATGGTTTCCATGAAAACTAAACTAAATATACAATTCTTATTTAATATTACTTGATTTATATTAAAATAAGAAAATACTTTATTTTATAGCATTTCTTAAAAGGTGATAGATATGTTCAAAACCTGATGTTGATATCTATGCCAAGTTGTCAACCTATTGTTTCAAAAAAAAAGTTGACATACATATCAATAAAAAAAAAAAAAAAAAAAATTTCTTGTATAATCAGTCTAAAATGTCTAAAGAAACTTCAAAGTTACTAATATTTCGGGAAGAAAAAAATCTGTTTAACCACCCATTAAAAAAAAAAAAAAAAAAAGAAGAAGAAGAAGACTATACTAGTTCCTATCTTGAAAAGGAAAGAATATAGAATGAAAGGTCGAAGAAGCATATGGCTCTCATGCGGGGCATATCTCAGGTTGGCTCCACTTTCGGCTCAACTTTCATCATAACCGGTGATGGAGGCCAGCTGAGACGAGCTGGAATATTCCATTCATAATATGCCACGTGGATTTTAGAAATTCGACTTCGACTATGATTTTCCGGAAATAGTCTATTATTTCACACAAATGTGCAATGATGCTTCCATGCGCAAAGTATTTGTGCTGATTCCTTACTAAATTTAATAAGAATATATAGCTAAAACTAATATCAACGAATTAGCAAATGTTTCAAAGTTGTATAAAGCAAACCGCGTTAATGTTTCCGGTAACGTATGATTAGGAGAAACAACATGTTTCTACACAAACTCGGTATATATATATGTAAAAAGAAGTCCAAAATTTGTAGGTGTTTGACCGTTAGTTAGTTATCGAAATATGACTATTTGGAATAGTTTCAGACAGTTGTTCGAGTTCCAGGCCATGTTCTTTTACAAGAGCCAAAAATATTTCTTTCGGGTATATCTTCGCTAATTGATTCTTTTTTTTGTTAAAGGGCTTTTAGTTGATTGATCATATTTGCCTATTTCTCTACTATAAGCTTTTGTCAAAACATTGTTTCAATAGGATCAAGATTGACGTGTGTTATTATTTGATTGAACCAAAGCCTACTTCCTTGGAGATTTGAGATTCTCAATAACACAAGATCACATAACCATTTGGTATTCCAAACGCTTTAGACATTTCTTAAACAATAAATGACATTACGTGGGCATTATAGGCCTGTTTATATGCAGTATATATGCTGGTATCAAAAGGCTTACATTTCCACAAAATGACTTTCTTCATTGTTGACCTCTCATGATAATTATTTGGCCTTCCGTTAGCACAAAATATTATCAACACCAGATCTCTTTTTAGAATTCCATATTTTTGTAGCATTGACCGGTTCAATGATTTACTTACTCAACTAAATATATTGTGTTGATTCTTAAGGAAAAAGGGAAAAACAACAGCCAAAACATACAGTAACTAACAAAAAACAATTTATAAAATATGATAGATGAATCAAATTTCAAATCATAATAGGCGTTATGTTTAAAAACAAACATGTAGGTTATATATAGTGTCAAGAATTCCAAGTCCAACACTATACTATTTATGGACATGAGCCAATCTATCTTCTTTTTTTTTGAATTGAAATGCGTAATTCTTACATGATATCACATCTCACTAAAACCAAACATATACAATTGATCGAACAGGAAAGAAAGATTTGATTTGAGACTCTGAGATAAATGAATCAAATAATCATTATCTTGAAAGGCATGTAGGAATTTCACATTAGAGTTACGAGGGGCGGAGGTAGTGAAGAGGGAGGGGGTCAATTGACCCCATAACATTTATGATTTTTTTTTTGTTTTTTTTATGGTAAGTCTCACAATAATTTATGGATATTTTGGTTTAATTTTTCCATAATGACCCCATGTCAACAATCAATTCCTTAACTTGACCCCTCACATGTTTATTTTTTATTTAGCATTAGTTCATTTTCTATTTTTTGGACATGAGCCAATCTATATTCTTTTTTTTTTTTTTTAGTTGAAATGCGTAATTCTTACATGATATCACATCTCACTAAAACCAAACATATACAATCGATCGAGTATGAAAAGAAGATTTGATTTGAGACTCTGAGACAAATGAACCAAATAATCATTATCTTGAAAGGCATGTAGGAATTTCACATTAGAGTTACCACGGCTGAGGTAGTGAAGAGGGAGGAGGGTCAATTGACCCTCATAAACATTTATGATTATTTTTTTTAAGGTAAGTCTGACAATAATTTATGGATATTTTGGTTTAATTTTTCCATAATGACTCCATGCCAACAATCAACTCCTTAATTTGACCCCTCACATGTTTATTTTTTATTTAAAATTAGTTCATTTTCCATTTTTTGTTTTATGTTTTTTCTAATATATGGTTACAAATCTTTAAAATCGTGGTACATATTAATTTTTTGACATATTCTATTTTTTTTCCTTAGTTTTTTTTTTAAATTGTGCTTAGACATATTTTATTTAGTTTAAAATAAATGATTTAATATTAATATATAATTAAATAAAAATAATTAATTATATATGACTCCTATAAACAAAAAATTTAGCTCGAGAGCTACTATCTTAAGACTATTTGCTATGATTCATTTCTCACATCCAAGCGATATCTCGTGAAAACGTTTTCAGAAGTCGATCTTCATTGAATTTCTCACTTTATGTTCGGCAACATAACCAATTCAGTTCAACAACGAGTCAAATTAATTAAAGACTAATATCATATAATATACATTGATTTTTATCTTAATAGTTAATAATTCTGCTCATAAAACAATACACTGATGCAAATATTATGTACAATTGCATCAATTATAAATAAAAAGATGTGAACTATTTGCTTCACCATTTTTTAAATCATATGCTTAAGTGATGTTAAATTCTTTTACATCACATACCACCATTAGTTTGAAATCTTTTTAAAACTAAATTGGGGTTTTTCTATACACTGTATTTTTTCAAAAATCTCAGATTGTTATATGATTTTTTTTTTGGGTCAAATTTTGACTAAATATTTAAACCGAATAATTTTATTTAATATTTAAACTAGTTCACTTTGGTTCTATAAAATCGAATTATAAGTATAAATCATCATAAGAGATGACTTATAAGCTCTATGTCAAATTATTCACTGTCTACAGGAATTTTGTCATCTTAGTCCGACTATTATGTAGACAATCATGTTAGTTTAAATTGGATGGTTGATTATCAACTATATAACATTGTTCTAACTTCAATAACGTAATGAACATGTAAAACTAACCAGCAAAAATTTAATAAAATGTAGTATATATTTGTTTTTCAAGATGAAGACAAAAAAAAAAAGCGCCGTTTCGAAAAATACTCCATGTTCTGATTGGTTAATCGATCAAGACGAGGATCGCGCTTTATTCATCTTCAACCGTCGATAAGAATCAATCCAACGGATACAAATCGTTCTCTGTTCTTTTGTCCCCTTCACCTATAAATGACACGAGGGACCGCGAACGAATATATTACAAATCTCAAAATCTCCTTCAACACTCTATAATCATTCTATTAGTGATTTTAATCTTCCTTTTGAGAAATGGAAACCACCGCAAAAGTAAAGAAAGCTTTCGGGGGAAGAAAACCCGGTGGTCCAAAAACCAAATCGGTTTCGAAATCAATCAAAGCCGGTCTCCAATTCCCGGTTGGTAGAATCACTCGTTTCCTGAAGAAAGGACGGTACGCTCAAAGACTCGGTGGTGGTGCTCCGGTTTACATGGCCGCTGTTCTCGAATACCTCGCCGCCGAAGTAAGTAATTCCAGATCTGGAAACTTAGAAAGTAACATATTCTCGAGAAATCAATTTTCTGATTCGAATTTTTGATTGTCAGGTTCTGGAGCTAGCTGGTAACGCTGCGAGGGACAACAAGAAGACCAGGATAATTCCGAGGCATCTACTTCTTGCGATAAGGAACGATGAAGAATTGGGAAAGCTTCTCAGTGGAGTCACAATTGCTCATGGTGGTGTTTTGCCTAACATAAACTCTGTTCTTTTGCCTAAGAAGACTGCTTCTAAATCAACTGAAGAAAAGGCTGGCAAATCACCAGCAAAATCTCCCAAGAAAGCTTGATTTCTTCTTTATGTTGGATCTCATTCACCAGTTTTTATGTTTATGTTTGGTAATCTGTGTGAATGTATATGATAAAAAGTCGAGCATTTGATCTCTTTAGGTTCTTATGTATTTTGTTTCCAAAGTTGTTTTAAATCTTATGTTTCCCTAAGTAACAATCAAATAATTTTACAATCTCTTCCACTGTTTCTTATCTACTGCTTAGCGAAATAATATTGAAACAACTTAATTACTACTACTATACACAGCGTTTGAAGGGGAACCGATTGCCATTTTGATTAGATAAATAAATCATTCGTTCCAGCGAGTTATGAAGACAGAAGCGAAAGTTAAATAAGGCTTTTAAGTACGTTTAACTCATTTTGGGCTTTAGATTCTTGCCCATTAAATTATTTTGTATAAGAAGCTATGAAGATTTTACAAAATGATATCGAAGCCATAAAACTCCATATAACTATTTCTTGTATAATTTAAAATTCTTTCTGAAAAACTAAAGATTCGAATGAATAAGGATTGAATAAGCTTTTTTGAGATAATTGTTTATTGTAAATGAATGAGTCTAGTGTACAATCTCTACGGTTTCATGTGTACAAGTTCTCTTAGGCTATCTGATTGTCTTAACTTGATTAGGACTCACTTGTCAATATCAAATCCTAATGCGACCTCACAATAGGGCTTCACAAAATTTAACCCAAAAAAAAAAAAGCTTCACCATCTTTAGAAGCATGATTAAAGTTTATCATAATGTCCCAAAGCCGTTAAGATCATCAAATTTACGATAACATGGTCATAACAAACACGCAAAACCTATTACGCTTTGAATAAGAGTTTCAATATATCTTTATAAGCAATTACAACTATTCCTAATTTTCGAAAGCCTCTAATTGTTCTTGAATTAGATTGTCGCAATATCTTAAGAAGCATAATTAGATTGTCGCAATATCTCAAGAAGCATAATTAAGATTTTCTATAATATCAGAAACGTAATGTCATACATTAAACATTTTTTAGAACTTTTTCTTACAATAGCGGGTTGATGAATATCTTTTTACACAACGAACATATAATTCTAAATTAGATCATGATCATGTAAAAATCAGGATTTTTAACATAATTAAAGTATAATTTATCTAACATTAGTTTACCAGAAATTAGTGTAAATTGTTAATTATCCAATAAAAAAGCGCTAAACTTTCAAATGCTAACGAAAAAACTGGCGCCGTTTTAAAAACATACATCCTTCTGATTGGCTAATACACAGTCACGCGGATCGCGCTTATTTTAATATCCACCGTCGATAGAATAAATCCAACGAACAATAATCCTCTCCCTTCTTTTTTCATTCACTTATAAATATCACAGAGTACCTCAAAGTGAAAATCACAAATTTCCAACTTCCGATAATAATCAGTCTCTTTAAACACTCAATTAGATCCAGTTGTCGATAACTGTAGCTATGGAAACCACCGCAAAAGTTAAGAAGGCCTTCGGAGGAAGAAAACCCGGTGGCGCAAAAACCAAATCGGTTTCGAAATCAATCAAAGCCGGTCTTCAATTTCCGGTTGGTAGAATCACTCGTTTCCTGAAGAAAGGACGGTACGCTCAGAGACTTGGTGGTGGTGCTCCGGTTTACATGGCTGCCGTGCTTGAATACCTCGCCGCTGAAGTAAGTATTTTCCTATCTGGATTTTATATTAAGATTTTTATCGAGAAATCAATTTCTGATTCGATATATATTTTTTTTTTGATTTCAGGTTCTGGAGCTTGCTGGTAACGCTGCGAGAGATAACAAGAAGTCAAGGATCATTCCGAGGCATCTTCTTCTTGCCATAAGGAACGATGAAGAATTGGGGAAACTTCTAAGTGGAGTCACAATCGCTCACGGTGGTGTTTTGCCTAACATAAACTCTGTTCTTCTACCTAAGAAGACTGCTTCTAAATCAACTGAAGAAAAGGCTTCCAAGTCACCAGTCAAGTCTCCAAAGAAAGCTTAATCGTCTTGAGTTTTAGTTTTGTTTTCGTTGGTAGTTTGTGTTTGAGCTTTGGTGATTGTAGAAATTTCAAGCTTTTTAATCTTTGTTTTTGTGTTTGGTGAATTAGAAGGTTGTTCAAATTCCATTTCCTAATTATAAGATTTTATGGCCTATCTATATGCTTCGTCTAGTCTTTTGGCCCACTCGTATTAATGTCATTAGCGAATTACTTAAGTAACTACATTGACATCGACATTAACGCACCCTTTTATTCACTATTCCAAATTTATCGTTGGTGAAGCAAAATCTAAAATGTTCTTATCTCTCTTTGTTCGTCGTAATTCCTTAACATCCTCATTACGATATTTAACAATTCGAGAATCTTGTTCTAAATTATTCGTCGGAGGTATTTTTTGTCTCTCTTCGATTTCGGTTAGTTAACTTCAATTTCGTGTCATTCATAGTGCGAATGTTGTTAGAATTGTTTTAGAAAATCTGTTTACCGTAGAACACATAAGGTCAATATTGTTTCTTTCGGTAATACAAAATGTGCACTCTAAGTGTTTGATAAAATGCGTGAAAGAGAACACTGAATGTGTTTACGCTACTGCAGGGCTATCTTATGACACCAATGAACCTGTTTTGAAGAATGAGTTTGAAAAGTACGGTGAAGTTATTGAAGGTACGAATCGCCATGAAATCTGATTAGTCCTGTACAAAATTCCTCCATGAATAAAAACCAATGCAATTCCTGATTTATTTTTGTTGGATGTGAAAGTTCAATGAAAGTAATATGCGATCACAAGAGCGGGAAATCAAAAGGTTATGGCTTTGTGTTATTTGATTCAGAAGAAGCAGCTGCAAGTGCTTTAGCTTCCATGAACAATCAGGTTTTTGTACACAATACCGATCCAGAAAAAAAAGACATTCTAACAAAACCTTGACTGTTCATATACAACATTCTTGCTGACTTTATGTTCTGTCTTTTGTTCAGTTACTAGAAGGAAGAAACATCAGAGTCGAATATGCTCAGCCGAAAAGTGGTTTATATCAGAATCAGAAATGATTCTCAATTTCTCAACTCAAATTGAAACTTCAGATCTCGCAGGAAATGCATTTACTCTTTAGAATTGTGACATTGTAGAACTGTAGAATGATTTGGTGAAGAGTCTTTAGTTGTTGTGTAAGGACAGTGTATGTGTCCTCTTCAAGCCTTGTTACTTTTTCATAATTGTTATTGGTGCTTCTACTTCCTTTGCAGCTTCCACAAATATTAATCTGCCATTAACAATCTGAAAACAAACAACCATATGCAAAACTCAGTCCAATTTTCAAAGTAGCTCAATTCTTTATACACCAATGTTGAATATTTTCCTTGAATCGATAAGGATTATGCCGAACACACGATTTTTCTGATTTGAGATCCATTTAGCCAAGAATGAATACTACATTACAAGAGTGAGTGACGATTAAAGAATTGGATGGTCACCTTCCCATTCAAAGCTTTCAAAGCGTTTTGTGCATCATCCTCAGACTCGAAAGTAATGAATCCGAAACCTTTAGGTCTTTGTGTTTGCTGGTCCCTAATAAGACGAGCTAAGAACAGTAACATACACACTACACAATTAGTTCAGACACATAATCAGAGCAGAGACACATAATCAGATTTTGTGAATGTACCTTCTATAATCTGACCAAAAGGCGCAAACAGTTGCCTCAGTGATTGATCTGTGGTGTAAGCAGAGAGTCCTGCAATTGAAAATAAAAATTCAAAAACTGAGAAAAGCAGATTATAAATAATAACTGAGAATTTATAAGTGAAGATGAGAAAAGTTTTATCATTACTGCTGACGAAAAGCTGTGTTGTGAATCTCTTAGCCATCACAACAAACAGAAAGAAACCTGAATTTGAAACACAAGTGAAAGAAGAAATGTGAAACCCAGTAAGAGTCTTACCTCCAACGAAACGGCGGCGTTTGGATTGACGATCTACTAGATTTAAAGAAAGGCCCAATAGAGCCCAATATTATTGACCCATTAACTCGTCTAGTAAAAAGTTTCACAAGGCGCCCAATAAAAGCAAAAACCCTAATTCGCATCTTGTATTTAGTTCTCTTGTTCAACTTTGTGTCTTCGTCTTTTGCTGGAGAGTTTCTGTGCGGCTGCCATTTTCGATTTCCAAAGGTTAGAAATATCTCCACAACTTCAAGCTTTATTCCTGTTTCCTTTCTCGGATCTGCTTTCGTTTAAGCTCGATCATGACGTTGAAATCTTCTTGTAATTTTTTTCTGAAATATCTCGTAGTTTCATTGGTTGATAATAGTATCTTAGATCAAAATACAATTGGATCTATTGAAATTTTGCTTATAGGTTCTTTGTTTCGTTGATTACCATTGGGTTATTGTTGTATCCATTTCAATATTAGAGTCATGTTCGTCGATTCTCGATTTAGCTGCCACTATAGTTGCGCATTTGAACCATTGAGATTTCTCTTTAGTTTTAACTTCAATAAGCTCAGATTTGTTGTTAATTTGGTTTCAGGTTTTGAGCTTTGAAAAATGGTGAGAATCAGTGTGCTTAACGATGCTCTTAAGAGTATGTACAATGCTGAGAAGAGAGGGAAGAGGCAAGTCATGATCAGGCCTTCTTCTAAAGTGATCATCAAGTTTCTTATCGTCATGCAAAAACACGGTATGTTTATCTTTCATTGTTTAGCTTCAATTTTGTTAGAACCTTTGTTTCTGTTTTTGATCAACTGTTGTAACATTTTTTGATGAAACTGTAGGTTACATTGGTGAGTTTGAGTACGTTGATGACCACAGGTCTGGTAAGATTGTGGTTGAGCTCAATGGAAGACTAAACAAATGTGGAGTCATCAGTCCTCGTTTTGATGTTGGAGTTAAGGAGATTGAAGGCTGGACCGCTCGTCTTCTTCCTTCTAGACAGGTCTGTCTTTTAGTCTTGTTCGTTGTTGATCTCTTTTGTTCATTCTCTGTATGAGCAGTGATCTTACATTGAGTTATTGAATTGTGCAGTTTGGTTACATTGTTCTTACGACTTCGGCTGGTATTATGGACCACGAAGAAGCCAGGAGAAAGAATGTTGGTGGCAAGGTTCTTGGCTTCTTTTACTGAATCAAGACTTGAAGAAGAGAATCTTTATGGTTGGTGATACTTTGCTTCTCCTTTTGGTGAGAAGAGGAATTCGATTGAGCTCAAAGTTAAGGGTAGTAGAGTTTTTGATGCCTTCTTCTGTTTGTTTTCTTAGATGATATGCCATTTTGTTCGTTTTGGGTTTTGCGCAAAAGTTGTTAAAGACTTGCAAAGTAGACAGTAATTTCAATTTCTGTTTTCTACAAAAAAAAACCTTGCTTTTCTTGAGCCAATCCTATCTATCGAGACGTTTCAATTTCAATGCTTGAGCCTTATTTAGTTTGCTTCCAAGTTCAAGTGTTGAGAAATGGCTTCTTATGTTTTCCTCTTTGACAACTAACATTCAATTTCTCTTACAAAAACATCTAGCGACAAGATGCTACATTGAGACCTTAACATATTTCACTATCTTGTTTTAATTGTTCAAGAATCATCTAGTCACAAGATGCTACATATAGACCATAGCATACCGCACCATCCTGGTTTTAGTGGTTCAAGAATCATAATCAACGTTTCAGATCAGATATTGTCAAGTTAATTGAATTATGATTGTACATTGGATTTTTGTAGATTTATCTTTCTATAACTCATGTAAAGCAACATACAATGTATAATTCATACACACACGTATATATAACGTCACTCATAATATTTTAATACATAAATCATTTTATTTCATTTTATTGTCTACGATCTTTCACATATTCATAGATAAAAAGTATCTCAAGCTAATTATTTTATGCAGCAAGCACAATCTTAACATTTCTAGATATAAATGTGGATATTGTGTCTATAAGGATAATCTTCAGAACATGTTCAAGGACATTTGGATGTGCCTTTGGAGTTCTTCATATCGCGGTAACAAGGGCACTCATCTTTGTTTCCATAAGTGCCTGAAGGAACACAATAATTACACTTCTCGCAACATATATTGCAATACTTGAGACACCGATCTTGTCTTCCTGCCTTTGAACATCTCACGTTGCATTTTCCGCCGCATGGTGCTAATTTATACATCATCCCAACACAAATTAAATAAGAAAGCTATATTGCAAATGAAAAAAAAAAGTATCTAAAATAATTAAATATAATGCATTGTGTATACTTACACGAATCGGCGGTTGAGAGCATGAACAAAGAAGATGTGAGGAGAAGAGAGATAATAATAAATTGTACAACCTGGAACTTCATCTTAGTTCTTGATGAGATTTGGTTGTTTTTAATAATCTGTTTGGACAAAGTTTGTTACTTTGAGAAGATGAAGAAAAAACTCGAAGTTTCCACACAATGCAAAAGGAGTGATGGTTTGGGAGGAAAATGAGGTTACCAAAAGACTTATTTATAGGAAAATCTTGGAATAGCAGTAGGTGAAACGCTTGTTATCTAGTCCATCTGTCCTATTTTGTAAGATTATTATTTTTGACTAAAGTATAAAGATTAAGAAATAATAAATATTTTCTCATTTATAAAATTCAACCAAAACAAAAAATACCTCACAATTCAAATAGTCATAAACTATTAAGGTAATATAAGATGTGAATAAAAACTTGAGAAAATCTAATAAAATTGAATAAAGAAAAAGACTAAAACATCCTATCTATTGGTACAAAGTGAGTATTGTCTATTTTTTTTAACTATAAAATATGTTTATAACTTATTGTATCTTATACATGTATTTCAAGTTAGTAATATTAATATGCGAAATCAAACCACATTTATCAAATACCTTTTCTTACTAATATTTCAATTTTTATATGTAAATATAACTAAATCATCTATGGAATATATATAATTTTAACATCTTTTAAAGCTGTTAAAAATCTATTAAATAGAGTTTACGTTCTATATATAATTTTTTATATAATTATTATCATACAAAAATTACTAAATTTAAAACTAGTAATTTTTTTTTTTGTCAACAACATGTACATTTTGCAAGTTTGAATATGGGTGATAATATATCAACGACACTAGCAAAATCCGTTAAACTATATGTTATTGTCGATATATACTGGTAAGTTGTTATAAAACAACTAGTTTTACAATGTATTTGGGGACTAATGCTTAATGTTTATATACCTTTGGAATTGACGATATTAGCTTCTATCAAATCCTGTTCCAGACTTCTGTATCATAATCTTACTAACAAAGATGGTGAATTTGCTTTAAAGAATCTATTAATTCTGGAGTTTACGTGCCGTTGTATAATTGTATTACATATTATAGTCGTTGTTATCAAATTAGATATGTATATATATATTAAAAAAATGATAAAGAAAAGTTACACATGATATGATTATTGTTTTTCTTAGTGGGAGATACGAAGGCACAATGTCGTTCACGTTGAGCGACCATCGCGTTAAAGCTATAATAAGAGTGACACACGTAATTGGAATCTAAAGGCATGTGAACTTCTACATCTTTCTCCTCTTTTTTTTTTCTTTTTCTTAGATTTCAATTCATTAATAATTATTCAATATCTAAAATAAAACCCATAGAAAAGTTGGAAGAAAAACAGTCCATTAGAAAGTATTGGTTGTTTAATTAAAGTTGTGCATTTATGTTAATCTCAAAGTTAATAATGTCAATCAAAGTCAAAACGATGGACCACCGACTTATTCCCCAATAAATGATAATGAAGTGTGTTTTGTCACGATTTAATTAAAGTTAAGATACAATTAGACGAATTTTGTCTAATCGGGTGACAAATGGGATGAATTCAACTTCATATTTTGTTTGGTAAAACGGTCTCCGGGACTTAAAGTCCTTTAGCAATGGGTTTTTGTCTCCATGCTTAAATATTAATGTGCAAAACTGAAATTCATTTAAAAAAAATTGAAATACTTATTTAAAATATCTTAAACTTGTGAAATTTAAGAGGGACATTTGGCCTTGTGGCCTAGTGGTAAAGGGATCACAGCTGTCACTTCCGCCACCAGAGTTCGAGGCACGGCCACTAGCAGGTTTACATAGAGGAATTGCCAGCCTCGTGGGATTAGTCCTTGGGCCTAAGAAGCCTTTGGAAGACCCGCGGTTATTCAAAAAAAAAAAAAAAAAAAGGGACATTTGGAAAACCATCAATATGAATGTATTTATTTAGTGTAACGTCAATATTTTTGCAGTACATTGGTGATGATATTTATAAATGGTTACAAGTTATTTATAACCAGAGCGTTTTTCTGACTCTGGTTTCTTTGATCATTCACATACTGTAGATACACATATATTTAATCTACAAAGAATCGGAAAAAAGTATATTAACTTTAACTTGATTCATTGTAAAAGTTTCAAGTTTTTTTCCCCCCATCAAATCACTATAGTTCTAGAAATCTTTGTTGTCGAATTTGTTGGCAAAGAGTAGCTTATAAGCATATCGATACTTCACCCAAGTTGCCATTTATTTCCATGCTTCGTGACTTTTATTTTGTAGATCCTTCGCAAAGTTAAATGGAATTGTCAGTATTAATACCACGTGTCTGTTTCTGGTTAGTCCACAGATTTATCGAAGAAGGCCCACAAGGAGTCATAAAAGAAGAAAGGCCCTTAAAAGGCTTCATTCTTTATGGGCCATCATCGGACTATTATGATCTTGCTAACTTACACGGGAGGTGATATCGTGCACGCGAAGGAGAAGCAGGAGAGAAGTTAAATCAGGACAGGCGTATTTTAGCCGTCCGCCATTTCCATCGCTCTCTCTCATTTCTTCTCTGCTCATTTACTATAACCCCTGTTCTAAAAATCCCTGCCTAGCCCCAATTACTCCCCGCTTAATCGCTAGCCCCACCCTATCCGCTTCGATTAATGACTAATCCCCTAAAAAATCAGTAACTCGATTATTATCCGCCTAATCCGATTACTTCCCGCCTAATCTTATATACCCTGATTATTTTTTTGATTGCAAGTATTAAAAAACTTTTTATTTTTGTTATTCAATCATTTGAATGGAGAGTTTGTGATGTTTTACAATCATAAAAGAAGAAAGGCCCTTAAAAGGCTTCATTCTTTATGGGCCATCATCGGACTATTGTGATCTTGCTAACTTACAAAATATTAAAATAACCCTAAAACTAATCTCCGATTAATTCCCGATTTTAATCCGATTTTCCGATTAATCGCTAGGTCCGCCATTTCCATCGCTCTCTCTCATTTCTTCTCTGCTCATTTACTATAACCAACAAGGTCTCTTCTCTTCTCTGCATCATTTTGATCCGGTACGCATTCTTATCCTGATCTTCTCCGTTCTTCGCTGATTCCTTTAGGTTCTTCAATTTTCGATCTCCTTCGTCTTCAGATGAAACGACAAAGTTATTTGGTTTTTGATCTCTGAGTTTTTTTTTGTTTTAGATTCGATGGCTGCTCCACCTGCTAGGGCTAGAGCTGATTACGATTATCTCATTAAGCTTCTTCTCATCGGTGATAGCGGTACGTCTTCCTTCTTACGGATCCAACCGATACAATCGATAAATTTTGAATTCACTGAATCTATTCATTGCTAGTTTGATTCCATGCTCTCGATCTCTCTTCTTATTTTGAATCATTACGAAATGTTTAGCAATGTGTTTTAGATCTCTGTGATTTAGGGATTTACGCAATTACTTGTTGCAGGTGTGGGTAAAAGTTGTTTGCTTTTAAGGTTCTCTGATGGTTCTTTCACTACTAGCTTCATCACCACCATTGGGTTTGTATTCTTTTAACTATGTAAAGAGATTAGAGACTGTGATGTTTGTTTCTCTCTGAGTTTGTTCTGTTCTCTTTGGCTTTTGAATGCAGTATTGATTTTAAGATAAGAACTATTGAGCTTGATGGCAAACGTATCAAGCTCCAGATTTGGGACACTGCTGGTCAAGAGCGTTTTCGAACCATCACCACTGGTTAGTGAAGATTAAGAGTCACAATTTTATACTCTTTAACTCTTGTGGCTAATGCTTTTGTACAGTTGATGTGTTGGGGATATATGGTTGTTTGAATTGATAAGCTTCTTTTATTGCAACAGTAGATTGAAGAATTGATGTTCAGTTACTCTTTTCCTTTGGCATTGTTGCAGCTTATTACCGCGGAGCTATGGGGATTTTACTGGTGTATGATGTCACAGACGAGTCATCCTTCAACAGTAAATTTTCTTCTGTCTACAACATAACATCTTTGGTCTTACATTTCTGCTTTGTTCTGGACCTGTTCTCTTGACCTTATTGCAGATATTAGAAACTGGATTCGTAATATCGAACAGCACGCTTCAGATAATGTCAACAAAATCTTGGTAGGGAACAAAGCTGACATGGACGAGAGCAAGAGGGTAATTACACTAAGAGATAGTTCATTCACAGACATCACCCGACTTCCTGAATCATCATAAATAGTCAAACTAATAGCGTTTTTGGTCCTTGACACATTTTTCAGGCTGTGCCAAAATCAAAGGGCCAAGCACTTGCTGATGAATATGGAATCAAGTTCTTCGAAACAGTAAGCCAAATATTGTCTTTAAATCTTTAATCTCATGAGAACAACTTAAATTACATTGGTTGTATTTGTTTACTTACATCTCAGAGTGCCAAAACAAATCTGAATGTGGAAGAAGTTTTCTTCTCCATAGCAAAGGACATAAAGCAGAGACTCGCCGATACCGACTCTAGAGCAGAGGTTATTAGTTATTACATTTTCCTTAAGCTCTTCTTTCACTTCACATTTATTTGTCCAAAGAACTTAAAAAGATTTTTTTTTTGGTCACAATTTTATGGTTCATCTCAGCCTGCAACGATCAAGATCAGCCAAACAGACCAGGCGGCTGGAGCCGGACAGGCCACACACAAGTCTGCATGCTGTGGAAGTTAATCGGTCCCAAAAGGCTCTAAAGTTGAAGTGAAGTGAAAACAGATTTATCTTGGGGTGCTATTGTATTTTTTTCTCTTTTGATTATTTGTTCTTATTTGACTTCTTCTAGTTTGTTCATGAGGGTAATAGAATCTTTAAGAAACTGTTCGTTCTCAGACAGATTCGATATCACATAAGCTGAATTATTAATCCTTTACACAACTCTTCAAGTCTCTTCTTATCTTTTGCATTCGCTGTTACATCATCAATTCTTCAAGCTTCTCCCTTTATACACAATTATGCAAAAAACAAAAGTTGATAAAATTAAGATCCAGCAAAAATGCTAATAACCTTACAATTTTCCACAAAATATTATACATTCAAAAGGAGCGCTCTTCTTTGCCATAGATCCGCTGAAGTTCCCTAGTCGCCGCTTGGAATGATTCTGAATGAAATCGAAAACAGGACATTATAGAAAAGACAGTGGAAAATGCAAATCAATGAAGAAAAAGAAAAAGATTGTACCTTTCCAGATGCGAAATGCTTTCTGGTTGATAGGAGAACCAAATACAGTCTGAATCACATCAAACAGTATACTCTCTGGAGTGTTCCTCAGTTCCTGAACTATCTGATAAATCGTCTTCCCGTTTTCAAAGTAAATATGATTGTTTGGATGCTTTGTTTTACATCCAGCGTGCCTCTCGAATGCATACGCGTTAAGCACCTTTGAATAATTAGAGTCAAGAGCAAAGTATTAATCAGTGTGTGTTCTGCAACCAGAAAAGGGAATTTGTTTTGTTGACTTTACCTTTGTGAATTCACAAGTTTGACATCCGCAAAGATAACCTGATCCTTTGATGACTCCTCGAAGCTCCTGAATTTAGATTGTTTCAGTGCAATTACAAATCCCAAGGCTTCAGGGAAATGGTGAACTTAAAGAAAACAGTTGAGCTGAGGTATTTAGTTTTTACCTCACGTGAGATAGAAACATACGTCACAGGAACGCCATCGAGCATACCGGTTGATATTAAGCTTCTGACGTTTGAAGGAAAGCTTGTGGAAGCTTCCTTCTTTGATGACTTGGTCTCTGCTTTGTTCTTTGGAACTGGTTCCAAACTCGGTTTAGCAACTTGTTGTTCGCTTACAACTCCGCTGCTGGTCTGTGAACTCCCAGTTTCTTGGCCATAAACAATATCCAATGTTCCAATTGGGTCTTGAACATATGATTGATAGTTTCCAACCACATTGGAAGTGGAGCCAACACCATGTTCATCGTTTATTTCACCAAATGTGATCCCATGAGAGTCCTCATTGCCATAAGGATGACCCGCCAGTGCAAAATTTATAAAGCTACTTTCGTTTTCCCGGCTACAAGCTTGTATAGAAGATGACTCGATTTTCCTTTGATTATGACCGTCTAAAGCAACATGTGTACTCATAGTTTCCTTAACCCGACTAACCGGAAGTTTTCTAATTCCATCACCACCAAAAGAACTCCCAGCAACCTCCACACCATTAGATATCGACAATTCAACAGAAGTATCTTCCATATAACTCTCAGCTATACTCTTAGTCTGGTGGTGGTGGCTACAACCTTCCGTTCTATCTCTATCACCAAACAAAAGTGGTCTTGGCGGCATTTCAGCTCCAAGAAGCCGATCCATGAACTGGTTAGAAACAGATTGAAAAACCGATGAGCTTTCCCACAAAGGAAGACCTACATTTGATTTTCCTAATCCTCCTACTGGATCTTGCACAGCTTGTTTCTTGTTTGGGAACATCTCAGAGCGAGAAGAATCAACAAACCAAGGATGAGGACGCTTTGAATCATCTCTTGTCGACTGATCATACACTGAATCATCCTCACTTGTATGCTCATTGTTCTTCATAACCCAAAAACCTTTGCTTTCATATGACTGCAAACAATATAAATAATTTCGACCCAAAATCAGAAGTGAATGCGACTCTAAAACCCATCAAAAAGGAAACATAAACCCTAAAGCAAAGTTCAGAATTGTACCATTTTTTCGTCCTTGAGCAAGTGCGAGTGCGAGTTCTACCTTCCCCAGAAATTCGAATTTCGAAAAATCAAACCTTTAGCTGAAAAAAATCTGTTTCCCCACAGAAATAGAAGCCAAATCAACCCAAGGATCTATCAATAAGAAATTGAAACCTAATCGCTCAGTAAAAGAGTGTTGAAATTCTGAAAGTTGAGAAATTTTTGAACGAATATGAGTGCCTAAGAGTGAGGTTGGGAATGGCTGAAAATTGGAGAAATCAGAATATTGGGTACCTGAATTGATCGCCGGAAACTAGATCGCCGGTAAGGAAGAGGGTGATTCGCCGCCGAAGAAAGTAACGGAGAAGGATTTGATGATGATACGGTGCGCGAGAAGCACCCGAATTTTGCTTCAGCTATGCTTTGTTTTTTTTTTTGTAAAGCAAAAAGCAAAAATCGCATGATCTGATGTTACGCGTGTTGAGTGATGTCTAATCGTGACCGTTCATCTCCCATAAGAGTTTGTGGGAACCCACTTCTTCTTTTAATTTGTTTTTTGACACTCCTATTTTAAATTCTATCAATTTCACCATGAAACAAAAACAGAACATACTCTCTTTTTTTCACAACCAAAAACAGAGCATTTTTAATATCTTCAATATTATTGAAGATGCTAAAATTTAAATTTTAGTTATCATGTGAAATGGTAACTTCATTTTCCAAGGTTTAATGATCTCTAACGTCGAGGCTAATATGATATTCGAATTATATGAAAGTCAAGAAAAGGATTCATCTAATGAGCTCTAAAATGAAATGGGATTAAACGAAATTGATAACGTAATAGATTTTTTATCGGCTAATAATCGAATACAAAAGATTTAGAGATTTGACTATAAAAGATGCATTTGAAACTAAAGAAACTGTGGGCTATGCTTTACTTGGATTGTAGTTAACAATGGAGTGGATAGAAAAGATATTGGATTCACTACTTCTACTAACTAACAGGCGAGCCTAATTCAACACGCTATTCCAACGATTTGGCTCTAGGACATATCCTTTATTCTCTGCTTGAGTATATTGATTTGGTATATAGAGTGTTTGATGTGCTCATATGGGTTTGGGGAAGAGATTAAGACTGCATTAGGGTATCCTTTGCAAGGTCACAGGAGAAACCAAGGAGCTCTGCATCTTCGCTTCTCGAAGATTGGCATAGCTTAGGAGCAACATGAGCAAAGGCGACACTGATTCATGAGCATATGGAAATGGTGTTGAATCATGTTGTTTTAATCCATTGATGATTGATTGAAATTTTTGTTTGACTTAGACAGAAAATGTTGACAATGGGTGGGATCACAAACAACACTCTTAATGTTCCAAATTCAAATAAATACTACTCCCTCCGTTTCGTTTTATCTGTCGTTTTAGAGCTAAAACTTAAAATTTTGTTTCAAAATAGTTGTCGTTTCGTCTTAAAAAAAAAAAAAAAAAAATAGTTGTCGTTTTAGGTTTTCGATGCAAATGTTTGGTAAAAATTCTAGTTTTATCCCTACTGTTTTAATGTTTCGGCCAATAAATTTTTTTATAAAATATATTAATAAAGGATAAAACAAAAAATTTAATATTTTTCTTAATTTGTGTGAAAAAACCTTAAAAGATAACTAAAATGAAACGGAGGGACTATCTAACTATTTATTACTGGGGTTGTTTTTATTCGTGATGGGGGAAAATAACAGCATAATACAGTTGATAAGTAATCAAAATTAAATAGAAAAGGATATTTCAAGTCGGCCAAAAAACAAAATGAGCTGATAGATTTTTATTTATTCACCAAATGCTAACTAAGATATCTCATAACAAATCTCGAGTGCTACAAGTAAAATATATTTTTACAGAAAGAAAAGATTACACCCTATGAAAGAAAGTTTCCTAAATCTGCAGATGTATGTATAATCTAAAATATTAAGAAAAATTCAAAGAATGAGAGAAACAAATATATTCAGAAAATTTTAGAAAAATAAATCAATAAACTGTTCTTCCAAGCTCCAACTTGAGATTCAAATTGTCCACCATCCCTAGACTCAGATCCAAACAAGCCACTCTCTTCCCACTGCTAGATTTCTTCAACGTCGTCACTGTCGGCTCCGGCAACAAAGCGCGTGTAACCAACGCGCCGCCGCCAGCCCCACTTTCGTTCCTGTGTCTCCTCATGTGTCCACCCAAAGCTTGTCCCATCGGAAACTCCACTCCACATATGGGACAAGGATGGGACGTAGTTTTCACCTTCTTCACCAATCCAGACGACAAAGTGTCGTTGTTAGGCTTCTTGTGACTCGCACGGTGACCTCCTAAGGCTTGGAACGAATGAAACTCTTTCAAACACGTTTTACATCTGAAAACGCGTTTTTGATCTCCACCGTCAACGTTTTCTTGCCCAACTCTTGATAAAAGCATCAAACAATTCGCCGCCGTAACATCCACCGTCGACTTAATATCCGATCTCGCAACCATATTTCTTCTTCTGATGATGATGATGATGATTAAAACGAAACAACTAGAAAATGATTGTCTTGTGATTTGGGGTTTTTTTTTTTTTTTGAGTTTGGTGTGATAGTAGGTAGTTGTGTTGTGTTTGTGTCCCGTCTGGGAAGTATTTATAGATACCGAGTTTGTGTGGAGTAAAGACGTGTAGAAAATGACGATAATACCCTTGTGACTTGGTGGGTAAGGAAGTGGCAGCGAAGAGTGTGGTATTAACGTAAATACGTGGAAGAGATAAGGGGTAAAAGAAGGAAGAAGCGGGTTATGTGGTCACGATTTGCGACACCGCGTAGCTTAATAAAAACAAAAGAGTCGTTTCGGTTGGATGAGAATCTTCCTCGTGTTTTCTCGAAACCATTTATTATTTTTTCTTTTTTTAGATATTTTATTTGGATATATACACACATAAAAAACTAAACTCTTTGAGTAGTTGACGTCAACAAAAAAAACTATTAAACTCTCTGAGTTTGATGTATTAGCCACGCGCAGAGAGTGATTTCCTCAGCCGTCTTCTAGATTATTATACGGAATAGTTTAAAATCAACACCTTCTAGATATATAATAAGGGGATATAATACTTCTCCATATATGAATGATTTGATTCCGTTTGAAATATTTATTTGATTGACTAAAATATAGGGTCCGAATGGTGACAACGCATTTGGCTTTATAAGAAAAGCGGTTTTTCAGTGCGGTACGGTCTAACTGCGGTACAAACGATTTGCGGAATAAGTGCGGTTTTTTAAGAATAAACGGTACGAATTAATATTTGATTGGTGAAAAAATAATTTGCGGGATATATGTTGAAGTTTTTAAAATATAGTTAATTTTAAATTGATTTAACTTTATAGTGTATATATATAAGACAATTATTAATCCAATCAGAAAAGTATACATCAAATTTTAATAATTTAGTAATAATTGAGTAATTTTAGGTGAAATTTAAATAAATCTAGTTTATATATAAGACAATTATTTGAAAATTTAAAAATATATATGACTTAAAATTAATATTAAAACTCTCAGTCGGTTTAATCAACTATAATATTTGAATTTATATTATGAGTTATGTATATTTTGTTGTTTGTATAAAAATTATTGTAAAGAAAATTAAAACTGTAGAAAAAAACTATTCAGAAAAAAAGATTAGATAAAATATATATAATTATTTAATAACAATAAAAGGCTAAATATATATATATATATATACTATATTATTTACGTGCGGTTCTCAGTAAAACCGCATGTAAAGACCATCATCCAATCCAAAAAGCGGTACAAGCTTTTATCTGCTGTGGAAATCCGTGTTTGGTTTTTTTTTTTTTTTTTTTTGAAAAAAGGCAAATTTAGCAAAATAGGTTGATTGGCTGCTGAAGTGCGTTTTCCAAAGAAAACACATTGAAATCCGCTTTTTGTTGTTCTCCAATCACAGCCAAAATATAAGGATATCAATTCATGATTTTAATATCCATTGGTATTCTATAAATATGTTATATGATTGTATTCTATAAATATGTTATATGATTACATCTCTTTTGAACAATACCATAAAACTCTAATAAGTATTGGTTAATACGGTTTAGTTTGGTTTCACTTTTATGAATTTTAAACATTTTAAAACCAACCAGTTTATAAACCTATGGTTTGGTTTTCGTTTAGGTATTTTGGTTTATTTTAAATTCATTTTTAGAATTCTAATTTGGTCAGGTGTATTCTAGAAAGTGGAATAGCTAGAAAACAGAGTTTGTGGTTTCGTTAGAAAAATAGTTTATTTAGAATGTTCTCTCAAAACTATCGTCAGCAATGAGCATCCCAGCGAAGGCATGACAACGCAAATACGTGAAACCTACGCGTTGAAAGATCGCGTGGATCAACTAACAAGAAGATATGTACGGAAACTTGATGGAAACGTGGGAAGCAAGTAGAAGAGATAATAGAGTGACGTGGCACTTTTAGTGCCTTTTCCACGCGGAACAAATCTTCGTTATATACCTTAAGATTCTTGTTTTCACACTCCCCTCCTCTCCTAACTTTTTCCATTTGTGGGCAGTTTTCATAAATCAGTAGAGATAATTCGAGTCAATAATAACAATTATATTTCAATAGTTTATGTAATTGGACAAAGTATATATGATTGTTTGTTGGGTTTATAAGATTACCAACCAACGTATGAATGGATAAACATATGACCTACTTGTTTTGTTTTTTTGTTTGACTCTCTCTATCAATTTTCGTTTTGCATTGTACCCCAAAGAAATATTATTTGTACACACTTCCAGAGTATACGACCAATCAAATGTAATTTGTTGAATACAATAATGCCTACATTACATAAATATAATTCGTTTGTTCAAGTTTTTAAACACAAGTGTATTTCTTCGGCTTGGAAATACACGATTTCAAAACCATTACTGGTATCAAATCGGACCCAATGGGTTTGTTTTAAATGAAACTGAACAAAAATTGAATAATCTGATAAAAACATGTCATGTCCCGATAAACTTGATTCCGAGAATTTAATGGTAATGAAAATTTGACATGAGCAATGTAGTGAGGTGGTTACCCATCTTCGGCTAGTCACATGTAATATTATAGCCTAATAGGTTCAACCCACCTCCCGTTCATAGGGTTACAACAATATGAAATGTATGTTGTTTATATTAAGAATAAATCAAATTAAATTCTTTACAAAAAGTTGTCTAATACTAAAAAAATAATTTTAAAACATTTAATTGTATTAATATGTTACAGAAATAAAATTGTTTTGATTACAAAGAATAAAGAAAAAATCTTAGGGTATTTTTCTCATTTGGGGATCTGCCTTTAGTCAAGTGGTTAAGTCCACATGATTCCGTCTTCCCCACCGGAGTTCTACTCCACTAAGTCGCGTTACCCCGCGTAGTAGGGATTGGCTATGGATCGGGCCTTGTCGATCCAAAGATGTCAAAAAAAAAAAAAAAAAAAAAAAAAAAAAAAAAAAAAATCTTAGGGATGTAATTCCAAGAAATAGGGAGATAAATACGGAAAGAAGATTATGAAGATACTCTTACCTTTTTTTCTGAGTTAGATATTGACTGTTGCAGGAAGAGATAGAGTTGTGCTGAAATCACTCAACCAACTTTAATAGTAATCAAGCTGGATTTAGCGTGATTCGATCCATTTACCAAATATAGCGAGAGAGAGAGATTTATGGAGAACTAGTATTTTTGTATATGAGTATGACGAGAAGATATTCGGCTACTCAATACTCAAACCCAATGAGCCTCCAAAGTTTATCATCTCTTATTCTCCTCGTCACTCTCTTTTCCTCTCCTGCTTTTGCTCTTAAAAAGGTCCTCTCTTTTTTTTTTTGGATATATGTAAATCTTTTTCTATATACATTGCTTTCACGATCGATATGCATTTGCTTAATTTTGTTTAATTGTGTAACAGTCCTACATAGTGTACTTGGGATCTCATGCCCATCCTTCTCAAATCTCTTCTGCCCATCTCGATGGTGTTGCTCACTCACATCGCACTTTCCTCGCCTCTTTCGTTGGAAGGTATCATCATTCCTATGCATCTCTTTATGAAAATACAAAACCAATGTTTTAAAAGTGGATCAAAACCGGATCATCTTGATATGCCATTAGGTTGATGACATTCAATTTTTAAGAAAAAAATCTTTGTTAAACGAACAAAAAATAAACTTTGTTTAGTAAACCACAACTTGAAATATGAAGGCACAAAATTAATTAGAGGTGAAAAGAGAAAAAAAAAATTAGAATAATGATTTTTAATGTTGAATTTCAAACTTTCAAACCAAAATCAAAAATTTAGGATTTGATTTGCTAATAGGCTTGTTCGTGGATTTTTGCGGGACATTTGGTTTTTTCCGTGTTTAAGCGAGGCACTAAAGTCTAGGTTTAAAAAGTATGTAATAATTTGCACCCAAAGAGGAATAATTGAACCAGATAATACTGTCTCGATGGATTGCGGGTTTACTAGTCCTACCGGCCGGTTTAGTCCGAGTTTTCTTATACACAACAAGAAACTAACTGCCTTCTCCGTTGCAGCCATGAAAATGCACAAGAAGCCATCTTTTACTCATACAAGAGACATATCAATGGCTTCGCCGCAGTTCTTGACGAAAATGAAGCTGCTGAAATCGCCAGTGAGATCATCAATCCTCATATACTGCGTTTGCTTCTCCATCCTTTTAGTTTAGACCTAACTATTTTTTAAATAATTATATGCAGAGCATCCTGATGTTGTCTCTGTAATCCCAAACAAAGGAAGAAAACTTCATACCACTCATTCATGGAATTTCATGCTCCTGGAGAAAAATGGTGTTGTTCACAAGTCCTCTCTATGGAATAAAGCAGGATATGGAGAGGACACAATCATCGCTAACTTGGACACAGGTAATTCCCAAAACAAGGGTTTGCTTTGCTCATCATAGTTATGAATGATATAAAATATGTATGTATGTTGATGAAGGTGTGTGGCCTGAGTCAAAAAGCTTCAGCGATGAAGGGTATGGAGCTGTTCCAGCTAGGTGGAAAGGTAGATGCCACAAGGATGTTCCTTGCAACAGGTTCTAAACTTCATTGAATTGACTTCTTTTTGAAATTATAGAAATATACAAGCAAAGTGATTATTTGATTCATTACATGTAACCAGGAAGCTCATTGGTGCTAGATACTTCAACAAAGGTTACTTAGCCTACACAGGTCTTCCCTCTAACGCCTCCTTGGAAACCTGTCGTGACCACGATGGTCACGGTAGCCACACTCTTTCCACCGCGGCCGGTAACTTTGTTCCCGGAGCCAATGTGTTTGGCATCGGGAATGGGACAGCCAGCGGCGGCTCTCCTAAAGCTAGAGTTGCGGCTTACAAGGTGTGCTGGCCGCCTGTGAATGGCGCAGAGTGCTTTGATGCTGATATTTTGGCAGCTATTGATGCTGCCATCGACGACGGTGTGGATGTTCTCTCGGCTTCAGTGGGTGGAGACGCCGGGGATTACATGAGCGATGGCATTGCCATTGGATCATTCCACGCCGTCAAAAACGGGGTGACGGTTGTGTGCTCAGCTGGAAATTCAGGTCCTAAGGCTGGAACTGTCTCAAACGTAGCACCATGGATTATTACAGTCGGAGCTAGCTCCATGGACCGAGAGTTTCAAGCCTTTGTTGAGCTGAACAACGGCCAAAGCTTCAAGGTTTGATCTTTACTGTTTTCACTATTTCTGTTCCATTCTTTCTTGTGCTACAAGTCATTTAATTTTGAACGCAGGGAACAAGCCTCTCGAAGCCTTTGCCCGAAGATAAGATGTATAGCCTCATCAGTGCTGAAGAAGCTAAAGTTTCCAATGGAAATGCGACTGATGCGTAAGTAAAAGCTATAATATCCATTTTTTTGGAATGTGTAACATAACTAAGTACTAATGAACTAGTGTTGCTTACATAGATTGCTATGCAAGAAAGGTAGCCTAGACCCGGAGAAGGTGAAGGGGAAGATCGTGGTGTGTCTCAGAGGAGACAACGCACGTGTGGACAAAGGACAGCAAGCACTCGCTGCTGGAGCTGCGGGAATGATTCTATGCAACGACAAGGCGAGTGGAAACGAAATCATCTCAGACGCTCATGTTCTTCCTGCTTCTCAAATCGACTACAAAGAAGGTGAAGTTTTGTTTTCGTACCTAAGTTCCACAAAAGATCCCAAAGGTTACATCAAAGCACCAACCGCTACGCTGAACACAAAGCCTGCTCCTTTCATGGCCTCTTTCTCTTCCAGAGGACCTAACTCCATCACACCGGGCATCCTCAAACCTGACATCACTGCACCCGGTGTCAACATCATAGCCGCCTTCACCGAAGCCACAAGCCCTACGGACTTAGACTCTGACCATCGAAGAACTCCTTTCAACACCGAATCAGGAACTTCCATGTCATGCCCTCACATCTCAGGTGTCGTTGGTCTCTTGAAGACTCTTCACCCCCAATGGAGTCCTGCCGCTATCCGCTCAGCCATCATGACCACTTCAAGAACCAGAGACAACAGACGTAAGCCAATGGTTGATGAATCATTCAAGAAAGCAAATCCCTTCAGCTACGGCTCAGGTCATGTCCAACCCAATAAAGCCGCCCATCCTGGTCTTGTCTATGATCTCACAATAGGAGACTACTTGGACTTCCTCTGCGCCGTTGGCTACAACAACACCGTAGTTCAACTCTTTGCCGAGGACCCACAGTACATGTGCCGCCAAGGAGCCAATCTTCTCGACTTCAACTACCCTTCAATCACTGTCCCAAACCTCACGGACTCTATCACCGTCACTCGCAAACTCACAAACGTTGGACCGCCAGCTACCTACAACGCTCACTTCCGAGAGCCACTTGGAGTTAGCGTCTCCGTGGAGCCAAAACAGCTCACGTTCAACAAAACTGGTGAAGTGAAGATATTTCAGATGACTCTTCGTCCCAAGTCAGCGAAGCCTTCTGGCTACGTCTTCGGAGAGTTGACGTGGACTGATTCACATCATTACGTTAGGAGTCCCATCGTCGTCGAACTTTAATTTCAAGCTAGCCTCATTCATCATTCTACTTCATCTTTTTCACGTTTCTTCTATCAATCATTTTATATGTTTGGATATTTATTTTAGTGTCAACTAAACTGGTTTGCCAAATTAATATTCAAAAAAATCATAATAAATAAAAAAATGAATTGAAACTCATTATTTCTGTAGATTTTAGATTGTAATAATTTACTGCTTTTATTTTTAAACTTAAAAGTAAAAATTTAGAAAACCAAAAACTTTGATTATTCTTTATATTCTTTGATTAATGCATCTGATTTACACGTGATTTAACTTTGCTTTTTCATTAATCATCTTCTAACTACCGAATTTGTATTAAGATAGATGTTGCCAAGTGGATATATGGTGCTTTATGCGTGTCGTTACGTAAAAGCAGTGACAGAGAAATAAGAAGTGTGTGTGTGGCTTTGGACTTGACCAACCCAAAACCACACTCGTCTCGGGTTTTTGGGTTAGACCCGGCAACGAAGCGATGCAGACGAGATCCTCTTCCTCACCCTCGCCTGACCACCGCCGCGAAAGCCAGCTGCAAATCGCCGATCCCACTTCGTTTTGCGGCAAGATTTTACCTGGTTGGACCGTCGTGAATCGGCCGCGATCTAGCAGAAACGGCAGTGTTGATACGGTAAGTGACCTAAATCAAGCAAATGTGAAACAGAAATTTTGAGTTTTTCTCTGAAATTTGAACAATTTGAGCTTCTTGTGTCTTTTGTGCAAAGTGTAATGTTTGGATCAGATTAGTGATTGTGTTGTCGCATAGCTCTTGGTTGTTGCTTGAGTTGAAGATAGATCTGACAGTTCTCTTCTGAAAAATCTCATCTTTACTTGTTTTTGTTTGGTGGGCAGTACTTTATCGAGCCAGGGACTGGTAGACAGTTTTCATCTCTAGAAGCTATTCACAGACACTTGGCTCGAGAAGTAAATGACAGACGTTTGACTCGAGCAGCATCCTTCTTCCAGGAAAGGACAAGGGTTTATGAAGGATTAAGAACCAAACAGAAACAGGTCCCCTGATCTTGATTTGAAATTGCACAAGCATATGGTTCTTCTTGGATCAAATACTTGAATCAGTGTGTTTATGCTTTTGCAGGATCACCGCAGAGTTGAATATGCCTCCAAGGGTTTCCGATTGCCTAGAGGATGGTCTGTTGAGGAGGTTCCGAGGAAAAACTCTCATTATATTGATAAGGTACTTATGTAGAGACTTGCTATCGATATTGCTATTGTAGACACTATTCATAAGTTACTGAGTCACATAACTAACAACCTAGTTCGGTTAATGTGGGAGAAGAGCATAATGTGAAAAGGATACATCGAATAACTTTGGTGGTTTTAGGGTCGAATCTCTGGCTAAACCGTTAGTATTATTCTTTGCAGTATTACGTTGAGCGAAAAACAGGAAAGCGCTTCCGTTCTCTTGTTTCCGTTGAGAGATATTTAAGAGAATCCGGGAACCGTACAGATCAGCAGCTTATCCTTTTACAGAATCGCCGAGGCCACTCCAAAGATTTCAGTTTACCTGATGGATGGATCGTTGAGGAGAAACCGCGAAGAAATTCCAGTCATATAGACAGGGTACATATCTGATACTTGGTTATGTTTGGTTTGTGTCTTATAGTCCACACCTTCAAAACCGTAAGTACTATTGTTTGCAGTCTTATATTGAGCCAGGAACAGGAAATAAATTCCGTTCCATGGCAGCCGTTGAGAGATACTTGCAAGCAGTCGAGAACAGTACAGTTGACATGGTGCATTCCGAGCGGCTTGCTGTAAGTTTTCTAAGCTTACAGATAGATGAAGTTTGATTTTAAGCTTTACATCATTTAGAGGTAAAGAAGATGAACCCTTTCTATACACAGGTTGTAATGGTTTGACGGTGGTTTTGTAACACATTTTGCAGCTTCTGATGAACCGGAGTGGTACCAGATTTCAGGACGAAGTTATCGACCCAAACCCACCGAAGAAAGTTAAGTGGGTCCTTACTGGTTCAGGCGGAGACATGTTTACTGCGAATGTAAGCGGATCGGATGTCTCTAGCTTAGTTAAACAGACATGGTCCGAGGCTTTTGTTTCACTGATCCAAGACCGCTCTTAACCGATATCTGAATCCTATGTTTGGCTTTTTCGTGGCCAGTTTATCAATTTGGTTTACGGTTAACAAGATCTATTCCAGTCAGTAGTCTCTTCAAGTTTGTTCATACTTTGGTCTAGTTTATAACTTACCCAAATAACCGGTTTTGCCAAATTTTTCAAGTTCATATTCGTGTGAACCGGATTTTGGTAATTCGGGCAGGTATGTTTTTTTTTTGGTGAGATTCGGGCAGGTATGTTAGTGCTCATATTTAGTTTGGGGACTTTAAATCGGATGGTGGTGTAGTAAGGTGTAAATAATGGTTGAAATTTTCAAGTCGTGACGTGAAAATGTGTTTCTAAAAATGATTCCTCCCTAATTTTTATATCATACAACTTCTCCTCGTTAAACATAGTCGCCAAAATACTTAGCATTAATTTAACTATAAATGAAAACCAACTTTTTTGTACGACCCAAGTGGTTCTAACGAAATGTCGAAATTTGCAGGATTAGTTCGATTATGAGAGTCCATCGTTATTACTAGCGGTTAAAGCTAGTAGCTCTGAGTTTGGTATTTTAGATATATTGAGACTTGAGAGGATTTGTTTGATTTTTTCTATGACAATTACAGAGATCGTATTCCATGTGAGATATAATTACCTCTTGTTACCGGTTTTTGCAGTGAAACTGTAGTAAAACTGTGAAGCACAATGTGTACACGCAATAACAGCTATTTTTACTAAACTGTGAATTCACTTCAATGAAGTCAGTCACCTACTGCAAGATCTTATGTATATTTATATTATTATCTCTATCTATCCTCCAATGTACCGCAATAGACTAGATATATTTCAAATATAATACAGTGTACTTTATTTTGAATTTGGTCTAAATCTTTTACCTATTTCTGTCAACCTAAACTTTTAACTTAAAATCAAATATCAAAAAGCGAATTAGCATATGTTACCTCAAAGTGTAATTCTGTATTTAGTTCCATTTTTGATGTGGAACTTTGACGAAATAAACGATTTTTTTAAAAATATGGTTATCACATAATTAGTGTTATATTTGTCTTTGTTTCGATATTTGATAACATGGTTCATCGAAAAAGTCTATTGGATGTCCACACTAATGAATGCATATTGTGGGAATTCATAATGCATTTCTTCTTTTGAATAACAGTGCTATTTAACACTTCTAGAAATGGGTAAGTGGAAACTTCTAAGATTTCAAAGTCAAAAGACAACATTGTTGGTTATTGAAATTTCTTTTGGTACGATTATTAAAATATTGTGTACGTGCTGCAAATTGATATTGGAGTTGACGCCACAAAGGCCAAATAGGCCAGAATTAAAGGGCATAGAGACTTTTTTTTTCTGAATAATTTGTAGCCTCAAGGTACCACCCCAACATTGACTCTAAGCTATTTATAATATCAAGGAAAACTATCACTTTTCCACATTTCAATGGCATTTATTCTGATATAATAAATGTTTTCGATGTGATTTTTCCAGTAGCAAGTATTTCTCTAAACTAATCACGCCAAACTAGAGTCAATTTGTAAAATATGTGTACTCAACATAATTGAGACCCCTAGTGGTTTCTGTACTGCAAAATAAGCCATAGAACAGAGTTAACTAATCCTGATTTCAAGTGTCGAAAACACAGAGTTGGTGTGATGCTAAAGATCATTATATTACTTGTACACATTTTCTAAAATCTTTTACATTTTAATTAGATTTCAATGACTGTAGAAAACTCAAATTTTAAACTTTTCAAACAATGCTTCAAAGAGAAAAAAAATACATCATGAGTATCTGAATCTTAGTTTTTCGGTTATTAGGTTAGTTAGACCTGCTATAAAACATCGAAGCGAATGATAAATGGTCAAAAACTAACTGAAATTTATGGTTAAGATTCCCAGTTACTACTACAAGGTAATATTGGGGTTGGGGTTATAAAAAGAAAATCAGATTGAAATGAACATCAAAAGACACCTAGGCTCAAACTACAACATTTATATATATTATATGCACCCATCATGTTAACTCTTAATTTTTTTTAGCATGGAAAGGAATTTTTATATAGTTACCTACACAATTCACAATGCTTAACAAACTCATCATTCCCTATTCTTCTTTTCTCTTCTCTGCTACTTAAAACCCAAAATAAGCTTGTTAGACTGCGTGCCGTTTTGCTTCCTTCTCATCAGACATTCGTGCCGTTTTGTTACTGCTGCCCACCATTGTTCCTTAGAGCCACCGGCTTTGGTTTTCTCGGAATGCACTTAGCTCGAACCGCCTCTTCCCCATCCTTCTCCGTCGTTGGTCCCATTCTTGAATTCCTAATACATTACCAAATATCAAATTTTGTAACCTTTCAATTCATTTAAAAAAAAAAAAACTTTTTAAAAAAATGAAGAGACGTTTGAAAGACACCCCAAAATGTACTTCTACAAACTTGACCATTTTCAGCTCTTCAATCAAACTCACACCATAACCAATAATTGCCATGTACGGGTAAATTCAGAAAAGTTAAAAATAGAACTACGTGCCGTTTTACATAAAGAGAAATCGAACTGCTTGATGTTTTTTTTTTTACCTGTCAGCATTGTAAGAAGAAGATCTTTTCAAAGCAGGAACAAGTTCCTTCTTGGTCTCAATCAAACTGCCGCTAAAATACTCCTTATCTTCCAGTTTTACCCTTCCTAAGCTCTTTAATTCCTTTTCTACCCTATCCCCATAATTATCCTCTGCTCCTCGCGTTATCGTACACTCGCTACGCCCATTCAACGGTAGCCCTTGATCTTTCAACAAAACAGGCCCACATTCTTTAAACGACATCGTACCACACGATATCAGCTGCATTAACACAGCCGAAGCTCTCATTCTTCCGCTGGATAAACTCTCGACCGTTCGATGATCGGTGCTGCTTTCGTTAGGACGCAATATCAGCCGTCCATCTGCTTTGATCAGATTCTCTAATGTCTCGGGACTTGAATCCGACGGTGGAGGAGATATCTCGTCTCTGCTCAGTTCTGTACTCTGGTTCTCGTAACTCACCGGACTTTTTACCTCTTCTATTTCCTCTTTCGCCGGTTTTCTCCTCCGTCGTCTATCGTCTGTTTGAGTAGAAGCGTCCGCAGCGAGTCTTTGAGTTGACTCGGCGCTTGACTCGGTTGCTTTGTAAACCTTGTACTCGCTGAGATCGATGGAGCTCCAAGACTGGTTTCTCCGGCGATTTATCACCGCCGGGATATCATCGCCGGAGTTTTTATCAGGGTTTAGAGATCTTGGATCCCTAAAAGACGACGTTTCAAGGAGGCTTCTTGGGTTCGAGATAAGACAAGAATCAAGAACCTCAGAGCCTTTGAGAACGTATTCTTGACCTTGCACCGGGAAGATGAAATCGTCCTCCGATAAATCGTGCCAGACAAATCCATTTTTGTAGCTCCTGAAAAATAAAAAAAATTGTCAGAAGATCGGACGGTGGAGATTTTAAAAGGAAGAGGCTTTATAGATCCGACGGTAGAGGAGAATCGTTTACCGTTTGGAAGACCAAGAGTAGAGACTTGCCATGCCTTTCCCTCTAAGATCATTCAAGCGGTTTATCACATCTGAAAATTTGTAAAAACCCAAATCAAAGTTTAAAACTGTGCCCAATGAAGTTCTTGATTTTGAAAGCTACAATTCGAAAACACAAAACTTGCCGCCATTTTCACTGTTATGTTCCAGAAATAATAAAGAGTAAAAAGCCAAAGAGAAAAGAGAGTTTGAACTCAAAAAGCTACTTTCTTGAACAAAAGCGTTTTCATCATTTATGAATCAAGAAAAAAGTTTGATTTTTATCAAAAGGGTTCACATAAAAAGGTAAGAGATTCTTGAGTTGATTTATTAACCTTTGAGATAAAGACCATCGTGGGAAGAGAGAGTGACTTCCATGAAATGAGGATGGTCAAGCTGACCATTCCGACAGAGATAATAAACGACTGGGACTTTCCGGTTAACGACCGGTTTATGACGAGGCTCCGACCAGATTCGGTTACGGTCGGGACTGGAGTCTTGTTGGTCTTTGGATCTCCTGGGGACCAGATAGTTGTTATCTGGTGTTGCTCTGAACACTCTTGAACTCATCCTTTTTGTTTCTTTGCTTGTGGAAAAGTGAAAGAAAGAAAGAAAATAGACGAAGAACACGAAGTGAAGGAGTTTAAAGTGAGAGAGTCCTTGGGGGAGTTATGAGAGAGTGATGTTGATGGAAAGACAAAATCTTTTGTTTATGAGTTTGGATTTATAGAAAGTAAATGAAAGAAGAGAGGAAAGAGAGAGTGTGAGATTTTGAAAAATGGGATGCGAGAGACAAAGGGCTACACAACAAATGAAACTTTGCTCTCTATCTCTCTCTCTTCTGGCTTTTCTGATATAAACATATATCGGCTCTTACTTGCTTCAGTAGAAAAGCATTTCCAAAGTCAAATTTAATTTAAATTCTTGCCATGACTAATTGAATTATTTTGTGGCTTTTTTAAGGTGTATGTTTTCAAAATTTGAAATTATACTAAGATTGGTAGAGATTCTTATTAAGTTTTTCATCTGGATATTCTTTTTTTTTGGAACTAGACTATACTTTTCAATATCCAATAGAATAAGGCTCAAATTTTCAAAATGAATGGGATAATAATGCTATTTTGGTCTACTTATTTGTTTTTTTTTTCCAACAAAATCAAAATTTTGGTGTATCTTTTCTTTTGTGTAAGTCAGGTGGAAGTTTGTGTAATTTCATAAACTTTATTTGGATCAAAAGATCATCAACTAATGATCTTATTAACTTCTGTTCCATTTGAAATGCTCTGTTTTATAATGTTCTAAGTTACATCAAGTAATACGAAATAAAATGTTTGTATACGGAGATCAATACCCATTTTGCGTATTTGTACGAGACTTAGCCAAAAAAATGCACTCTGTTGAATTAATACTTAAAAGTGTTTGATATGAATATACCAAACCAAACTAATCTGAATCATGTTTAGTTTTACCAATAATAACATTAAAGTAAACTAATTTAATACACTATTACATACATCATGTCAAGCGCGACGTCGTTTAGAGTGGTTTTATTTTAATGTAAGGAAGATTTGCGTAGTTGCCGAACAATAAATGAAACGAGTAACGATTTAAAAAATGGTGATCAAGTTGACTAAACGAGTCCACGTAGAGTCCTCTTCATACCTAACTTTGACTACGAAATATGAAACCGATGATTTTAAATGTTAATGTCCGTTTCAAAGACTTGTTTTACACGGGCCTTTGCCATGTGTCACATTATGTAAGTCTATAAAGCTGTAATAAAAAAGTGTAAACGGAGGTAA